CTCGCTACCATAACATTTTTTACATCCATTTACATATATTTTCGCTTTGTCTTACAGCAGGATAATTCATGTTCTCTACTGAATGGGTTATACAACCTCCGGAACTCTTCTTGCCAGGAGGATAATAAGCAAAACCAAACGTCTAAACTCCAGGTGACAATATGGCTAATAATATTAACAGATCAGCATACATTATAATTTGGTAGTACATGCTGATCATCTCGCATTGTTGGAAGCAGTATTTAAAATGGTAGCAATATTTGATCTAGGGTTCATATAGCCAGAGCAGGCCCAAGACATTGTACTGCATGGGTGCAAGGTTGAAATGTGGCACCCTCCCCACCCACAAAAGTGAAGTTTGTGCCTGTGTGTGTGCTGTGGGTGAAGTGTGTGTCTACGTGTTTGCTGGGGATAAAATATGTCTCTGTGTGTGTTTTGAGGATGACGTGTATGTCTAACTGTGTGCTGGGAATGAAATGTGTCTGTGTTTGCTGGGGATGAAGTGTATGTCTGCAGTATGTGTACTGGGGATGTAGCGTGTGTCTGTGTGTGCTAGGGATGTAGTATGTGTCTGTGTGTGCTGAGGATGTAATGTGTGTCTGTGTGTGTGCTGAGGATGAAGTGTGGGCATCTGCGTGTCTGTATATCTGCATGTGTATCAGTGTGTCTGTGCGACTTTATGTGTGTCTTTGCATCTGCGTCAGTATGTGTATCAAACATTGACACACATGCAGATACACAGACATACAGATACACAGATACACACTACACACAGATACACACACTCAAACAAACAGATAAACACACTACACAGATACACACATACAAACACACAGATACACACACATTATGAAAAAAAAGCCACCCAGCAGTATCTTATTTTCTGATGGCTGTGGCTGGTGGGAGTTGGGGGCCTGCTGTCCCTATCCAGATCCAGTCTCAGTGTGTGTGAGCTGGGAGGAAGTGAGAGGCTGTCACTTCCTGCCAGCTCTCCCTATGGATAGAAAGGGCCCGGTCGTGCTGTTACAGCACCGCAGAGCACAACCTTCACACAGGTCCCCAACCCATGCAGTGCAGCTGCACTACCATGGGTTGGGAACTCCTGTTTCAGATGATGACAGGGGCAGCAAAATGACGGCCTTGCCAGTGTGCCACCTGGAGCCATGGCCCCATCGCAGTCTATGGACGGGTCAGCCTGCACATAGCTGTGCTTTATTTGCATTTATTTCAAAATTACAGTGAGATAAAATACTGATAAATGAGTCAGCTTTGTAATTTCCACCTTACATGACTGCTCTGCTTAGAAGGAATTAAACTACAACGATCATGGTTATTCACTAAAATGAGAATTCAAGGTGGACATGATGGAAACTAAAGCAAAGTAAAAAAACTAAACAAAAAACTGGGTCCATTGTAGTAATTGTCGCTGAAATAATGTCACTATGCCAATATCTTCAAAAAGTAAGCTTCCATGGTAGAAAGTAGGAAAACAGGTATGCATCAATCTTGAAGCAGATGATCAGGTAAAGAAAGCAGTCTGGAACCGATGAAAATAAATGTAACTTATAACAATAAATCACAATAAATTAAAAAAATTTTTTTTACTTATTTTTAAGTCCCTGGGTACACACACTAATAGAATTTGCTTCCCATGTATATAAGAAATAGCACTGAGTTGGAGTCTAATCTGTATTTGAAGTTGAGAAGGATGGAAGGCATAAGCCATAAAATATGAGATCAAATATCCGACGACAGACTGCTGCAAAGCAACAGTCAGAAATCAATAACATATTCAAGGGAAGTAGCTGCAGACAAACAACAGGAAGTGAGCAAAATAAATAATACAAACAAGTTGAACTAGGAACAAGAAAGTATTATAAGCTAGCAAGAATCTACAAGTCTGCCAACCAAGCCAACAATCTATCCCAGTGTGGGGCAGAATTGCCAGAAACTATACTAAAAAACTTTCCACTAAAGGCTGATAGGTTGCAATCAACCAAGAATACATACTGAGTGCATGGCAATAAAATATAATTTTAAGCACAGTCTATGCAGTGGTATAGCGCCCAAGTCAATGGAAACTATTAATAGAAGTATTTGTTTTAACATTCTGTCTTCCACTGTTTATTTGTTTTTTATTTTACAGTTAGAATTTATTTTTCTTTATCTCTTAAAGGGACACTATAGTCAGCAAAACAACTTTAGCCTAATGAAGTAGTTCTGGTGTATAGATCACGCCCCTGCAGTCTCACTGCTAAATTTTCTGTCATTTAGGAGTTAAATCACTTTTGTTTCCATTTAAGCAGTCCTATTTAAAATTCCCCTGGCTGTGACAGACACAGCCTGCATGAAAAAAATGGTCCATTATATAAACAGATGCTTTAGACATTTTTATCTGCTGCTCTGTTAATTCATGTTTAATCACACACAGGAGGATCCTGCTTGGTCTAGAATGCTGTCAGGAGATAGGCAATTCTAAATCAAACAGACTGTGCAATAAAGTAAGAGTAAATATTAGATCTCACTTTTCAGGAAGTGTTTAGGAAGGCTGATCAAATCACATGCAAGGAGGTGTGACTAGGGCTGTATAAACAAAATGATTTAACTCCTAAATAGCAGAGAATTGAGCAGTTAGATGTCACGGGCATGATTTGCACACCAAAACCGCTTCATTAAGATAAAGTTGTTTTAGTGAATAGTGTCCCTTTAAGAATGGAGGGAATAGTCCTGAACCAAAACAAAACCTAGAAATTGAGCTATATATCTGTTCAACCACAAGTCAAATTATATTTATAGGTTTTAGTTTGGTGTTTGTCCTGAGGAAAGTTCCAAATAGTAACTGAAAAGTTCACTGTTTGAAACACTGTTTGTAAGTAAACTTTTTTTTCAAGAATCCCTGGAGTGCTGATAAATTTCTAATTTGTATACATTTTTAGTGCTATAAAGCACCGGATGTTAAAGACTGTGAGTAGAAGTGCAAGTTTTTTTCAAATATATATATATATATATATATACACACACAATACACAAGATCCATCACACTCACCTATCCACTAAACAGCAACTTCAATGTTGAAAGATTTTTTTTTATTATTTTTTTTAAACACCTAATCTAGGCAAAAATAATGGGGGTTTAGTTACATTATATGATCATACATTGCATAAACCTGCCACATTGTCAATGGACCCCATCTTTGGCAGGTCCTACTCTAACAGCCTAATGTCTGCTCTCATGAGATTAACCCACTTACTTGGGGAAAATATTCCATATGGGGCTCTCTGCAGTACAAGTCTAAATAGGGCCCTGGGATGAGGCACATGTGACAGGGAGGGGTGCAAAACCAAGGAGTTGGCTAGACTCCCAAATATATATATATATGAAACAAGGGGGGGGGTTGGCTGCACTCACCTGTTTATGTATGTTTAGGTGAGTGCAGCCAACCCTCCCTTGTTTCATATATATATATATATATATATATATATATATATTCAGGACAATAAGCCGAGTTATAGTCGTGGTATAAGTCGGTTGTAGTGTGCTGAAACCGATGTTCGGATAGGCCTGTAAAAAAGGGCAAAAAGTTTAACATTTTAATCCTTAGTACGTGTTGACATCACATAACCAGTACTTTAAATGCCTGTCTCCGTTCCCTCTCCGTTTGAGGGATATCTGGTGTATGCAGGCGATTCCAATGTCCCAGTTTATGATGTGCGCTGGGATGTTTACTAAAGGCTGCAAAAGCAGTGCATATTCTAAAAGAATGACCTGAATATGTTGAAGGGTTGTATCAGTTTTATGAACTGTGTCCTGACGTACAGGATGAATTTGATGTAGTGAGTGATTACTGTGGAACCTTAAAAGAGAGCGTATGCCTGTGTAGTCCCGCGAGTGTTGGACAATTGGTCTAGTATGTTAACCTGGTACCAGAGTATGTATTGATGATTCGATATTCGGAAGTGAACTTATTAAAATGAAATGAGTTCTGAGACAAGGCTTCAGCTGCTATGTTGTGACAGGCTGGTATCTGTATGCAGACAAGGTAAAATTGCTGTGTTCCTGCCAGCAATGTAACTTTGCATACTGCATACTGCTGAGTAGTAATTGACAGACTTTCTCCCCTATAGAGGCGCCCAGGCGTGTGCAATGGCCGCGATGGAGTACACTATAACGAGAGCTGAAGGTTACTAAAAGTGTAGGCTTCATGTCTCTGCGGGCCATGTGTCACAGAACCAGTTGTCCTTGATAATGGCTGCAATCCCAGTCTAAAATAACAGGGGAATCGCTGAAATGCTGGAGACTGTCCGCTGGGGAGCAGGGATGTATTGACAATAATACAGGTATAGACCTATAGTATATCTGGAGGTAGCGGAATACCCATGATGAAATGGGGCCATCGGCTTGTGAATGCTCTAGAGTATAGCAATCGGTTCCTTTAACATTCAGAAAAGTGTCATGATAATGTATTGTTGTATGGCAGTCACAGACAGTCAATAGCAGCCATGAGATGGTTACCACAAATACATTGAATAGTTTAGGGCTGCTATAGATCCCGGACATGAGACAGGTGTCAAATAAAATGCCCCTATCATTTAATACCGTGCAAATGCCACAGAAATGTCCACTGTGGCATGTTGCAGGGAACTACTTTGAAACAAATTAGTGAAGTCACGCAATGTACGAGGAGACCAAATTGATGTCTTTGCCTACCAATATGTACTTCCTAATGATGGAAGAATTAAATGTGCCGGTGAAATAACGTGAGCAGAGGTAATGTGTGCAGGACTGTAACTTGTGATGTTACCCATAGTGGATGAAAGTAAGGCGTACATAGTGAAGTACTCTGTATGAGGGTTAGGAACTCCTGAGTTAGGAGACTAATTCTCAAGACTATTATAGAACATAATTATGATGAAAGGATGGATGTCATCATAGCATGCATCTCTGCTATGTTGTCTGTGATATTTACACGGGCGTAAATACCCAGCTGGGGAGTTCAATCATGAGTCTGCGCAGCTTGGCTTCAGTACTGTTGCTGGGAACGGTACGTCTTTATGCATGAGTTTGGCAGCAATTGGGAACTGTGTTAGTGTTATACTGGTACTTGACCAGAGTACAATGGACTAGCTGGTGTCGAGGGTCTTGCCAGGTACTTGGGAATGAAATAACCTCTTCTAGTTACGCGGTGAGAGACATATTATGATGAATGATGAATAAACAATGGGTAAATGTAATGGGCATCTCGATGAGAGTGTAGCCCTGCATAAACTGGCAGTTCACTAAGTGCCAGATGGTGAAGAAATTAGCTTTACAAGGGGAAGGTGAAGCCTAATGCCAAGTGGCTCAGAGAGGTTCTAGCTGTGAATTTGGCCGAGGAACTGAGGCCACTGAAACAAGTGGTGCAGATGTTGGCCTCTCGGTGATAAGTAAGAGATTCAAATGAGTGGCCGTGCAGGTGAGGCCCCATCTAATCACCTGTAGAGGTTGGAGCGAGGCTCTAGCTATGAGTTGGGCCAATGCGTGAGGATGGGTGTTGGCTTCGCGGGACTGAATTATGAACATACTAGATAATGGCTCGTACCAAACCATTTGCAGCCAGTTGATCTATCTATAAGGAATGTAGAGGAATAGAAACATTATGGATTGATAGAAAGTATGTCGGAACATATGTACCTAGCCCAACTAGTGAGGTTGAGCTTGAGAAAGGAATATCATACAGAGGAACCTAAAGACACAATGAGAATATGTCCAGGATGATGCAAGTGCTAACTGAGATAACGTATTGTATTACTAAGGATGGTGGGAACCTAGAAAAATAAGAGAACTTATGTATAACTACATACATAGGCAAAAACAGAATGAGTAAGGAAAATAGATTGAACTGAATCTACCCCACTGTGCATCCTTCTACTAGAAGGACCTAAAGTATGTGTGAAAAGGAATAGCCTAAGTAATTAAACACCAAAACATTTATATCACATCTCTAGCTTACTAGTGTGTAGCGAATTATGAGATCTAGTAAGCGCCTTAGTTGAAGGTGTGGGTTATACTAATTTCAGTACAATAGACAGATCGAAGAGGTCTGAATACGTATAATTGCATTATAATTAAAGGGTTGTAGTTTTCCCTCGTAAGCAGGAACATGTTGTATGTAAATGCTCAAAGGGGTGGGGGGGGGAGTACGATATTGGATCGTACTTGTTTGCCCAAAGAGGGCCGTATGTAACCATATGGAGCGAAGGCCTAGTGAGGGCCACATGTAGAGGTATCACAGCGAAAGGCCAAGAGTGCCCAATGTAAGTTCTGAGTTCGAAAAAATAGGGCTGTATGAGGGGTAAGGATGTATGGAATGAACAAATGTGGAATAAACATATCAAGGTTGTAAGAGTTGTGTAGACATCCAAGAAAAAATGCCTTTGTTGTTTGAACCAGTCCACATGTAGTGGTAGGGAGAATTGTCATGAATAACAGGGTGGCAACATTGTATGTAATAAAGGGCTGTCTGAGGCTGTGATCAAAGGATAATGATATAAATAACCAACATGATAGATTATCAAGTGTCTAGATATAGGTGTCATATGTAACATTGTCAATACCGTGCTAGACCGAGGTAGCTTAATATGTTGGGGAAAGGATAAAACTTATCAAATGAGGAGGGCCATATAGGTTGGGTTGGTGTAGGCCTAGTATATAATTGAATGAAGTAAGATAAGACATTATATATATATATATATATATATATATTTAAAACCCTTGTGAAGAAGAAATGTATACTTATTTCAAGCCCAAATGAGTGGCCAAAATTGTGTTGTATTGGATTGTCCATAGAGGGCCTTGTGAAGGTCAAGTAAGGACCGAGTTTAAAGATATTCCATGAATCAATATCTCGATAGTATTGATGACACTCAATTGCTTGCAACGTGAGTATATTTAGGCTGTGTCCTATGTAGGTGGTGATGATCCCGCCTAATAGATACTGCTGAACCAGAGTCGTGTAGAGACAACGTACGTAATAAAGGATACAGTTTCCCCAGGAGGATGGCCTAGTGAAAGGTAAGGTATGATTAGTTTATCAATATTGTGTAGTGTGTTGGATAGGGTGGTATGCAGCACCTGTAAGTGGATGTTATATAAATGAAAAGCCCAATGAAGGGCTGATATAGGTGCAACATGATATGTTGCACACTGAGGGTCATGTAAACGGATGTTGCAAAGTCCCATTGAGGGCCTTTTGCAAGGACTATTTTATTTTATTTTTTGATCTGGTTTTATTTATTTATTTTAATTTTTACACATTGTGATATACTTAAACGCAGTATAATAGGGCAACATATAACACCAAAGCACCAGGAAGGACAAAATTAGATTGTAGTTGTAAGCCAGCCTGGGGCTGAATGAAGCTTATGTAAGTGAAGGCCTAGTGAGAAATGTCAAGGTAGAGGAGTAGAAGGCTGAGAGAGCTCATTGTGATTCATGAGTAGCGGAGTAGCCATTTAAGGGCAATATGGAAATTAGCAGGTCGTAACAGTTTACCAGGAGTTGGAGCCCAGTTGCAGGAGATGGCACAAGGAGGAGGCAAAAACCCAAAACACAGTACAGATAAAGGGGCAATCTAAAATGCAGGGTCAGACGAGAAGCAGAAGTCAGGGCTGGCAGAGGTCAGAGTCCAGGAAATCAGTCAGCAGAGAAACAAAGATCCGGCAGCAAACACCAAACAAACAATATGACCAGATACTAGGTCTCAGGCAGAGCAGGCTTTTACAGCCTGCTGATTAGGAGCAGCTGACCCTAATTGGTAAGGGGCTGCAGGGGGATCAGCACTGCTCCATCCAGGAAAGTAGTCAGGAAGCAGAATAATGCAGACAGATACTGAAGCCCCCTGGTGGATAGCATGGTAGAGAACCTGACTGGGATGCTGGAGCTGTTCAAACCCAGCCAGGTCTCTTAAAGGGGCAGCCACACCTTGCTGTCTGCCAGGCTCGGGGTGTACTGTGACAGAGCCCTCCCACAAGGTGCAACCTCCGGGCGCCAACAGACAGGGCTTCATCTAGAGGATCCAGTTCAGACTCAGACAGGGAATCCAGGTCTGTATAGGCATCCGAATCATCAGGATCTGAGAGTGTTTGAACATTTTACATGTTATGTAAAAATAACATATTTAAATTAGGGCCATGAATATGTTCATATAACCATAGAACAGACATAATTATGACCAACATTATGTTAAAGTACACTTAGCCAGGCCTATGTGGAGCCTAGAAAGGGCTTAAGCAATGTAAGATGTGATGGACAGTGAAATAATATTATTAACAGGCAGTACCATAAATGCTAACCACATGTATAGGTTGACATCAATTTAGACCATCAGTTGCAACACCTAGCCATATAATTAGTAAACAATGTAGGCTCACCCAGTGCCTGAATAGGGCAGACATAGAATACATATAAGTACTGAAGTTGGAAGAGGCCTGGTGAACAGAAGTAACAAATGCTGATTTGCTCAAAGCTGACAATTATAACCAAGGCTGTATGGGCCAGCAATAATCTGCAAATATGAAAAACTAAATATATGGCATTGCATTAAACATTAAAATGCAGAGTGACTAAATTAATTGCATATGTTAATACTGATATGGCCAAATGAGGGCCGAATACAGTAAGCAGAATGCATGCACCTAATTGAGGCATCACTATGATGCTATGTATGATTAAAATAGGCCAAATTCGCGTTAGTAGTGAAAATTGCCGTATCCAAATGAGGGGAGAATACGGACTAAACTGCGAATGCCTCCCTAGTTAGTGAAAGGTTGAACATGGGGTGAATACATGTTGAATATCATGGACAGCGTGGCCCTACCCGGGCTGAATGAACAAACTTATGTTTTTGTTGTAATAAACGCGCAAATAGCAACAGGAAAAGCCATGGCTGGGCCGGAATCGGCAGTGCCCCATGTGCTTCGAAGAAGGTGGCTGGTTTTTTTGTTTAGTTTTTTACTAGAGTGAGGTAAAATTAATACTTGCATGGGCCACACAAGGCCAAGACCAGCTTGTTTGGAGTTTAGGCAGTTTGTTGTTGATGACCTTTGAACCGGAAGTAGATAGCTCTTTACTGAACCAGGACATCTCAGCCCAGAGGAAGGGGAGGCCTGTGAATTTATAGGCTGGATTAACCCCTCCCACAACTACAGGCTCCACCTTTCCATATATCATATAAGAAAATTACATATTTAATTCTAAATGTATTTATGTATTATTTCTGTATAGTAATATTATTTTTATTAGTATATATTAGGGGATTTGTCTGACAACACAGACAATCTAATCCAATCTAATCCAGCCAGTCTGAGTTATGTGATCACACTTTTGCACTTATGAATTGAATTGGCTGCCGGACGACTGCCTGTGTTGTCAGGCAGCTCCATCAATCGTGATCTGTGTGGAGGGTGAGTATTTTGGCCAGAGAGAGGGCATGATTGCTAAGACATGCTATGCCACCCTAACGGCATTAAACCGTCCTTTTGTAGGATGGCATACCATGCCCTAATGCATGGAAGGGATTAATGCTTATTGTTGAAAGAAAATCAGATACATTACACATTGAGTAAGGGAGTACAAAATGCTGGATGCTTTACTTGGAAAAAAATATATATATACATATATATATATTTATATTTTCATAAAGATTATTAAAATTAATAATCTTTATTAAAATATCAGGGGTTGATATTTTATTGGCGCTATTCCCAATTATTTAAAGCGAAGAGTTACTCACTATTTCAACTTTTTAGATCTGGAGTACGTTGTTTGAATTTAATATTTCGTACATTAATATCACAGCTTTTTATAAAAATTTAAATATTTATTTTTGTCAATAAGTGTAAATATACATGATAATTAGTGAATCCTTTTTCAATAATGTTGAACAAGATATGACATAGTACAGTATCACAATCTCAGTAAAATATTTTAAACTCTTTAGAGTGATAAGATTGTTAGTTCATGACAAATTCAATCAACCAGGTTAGCATATGGAATATGTTCTTCATACACTATTGATTGAGACAATCAGCAAATGGAATGTTATTTGTTAAATTATAAGAAACCATATGAGTTTATTAGCATATGGATTATTATAATTTAAAGACAGAATTTTTCAGAATCTTAAAATACAATTTTAGCTTTTTACTTCTTAGTACAATTTACAAACACATGTGGATTGTTTGCTTATTGTAAACATCATTCATTAGACTTAGCTGGACAGAGTTTGTTATTTACTCAGGTGATCTATACACAAAATTCTATGACAATGTTTTACCAGCTAGCCACAGAATTTTAACCAGCTCAGTGCTGTTTCAGAGTAATTAATTATGATTAATTAATTCATCCAGTGACTAAATTCTTGCAGGTTAAGTTAAAACAGTTCTTATCTGATAAATATTTCATATTAATATTCCTCTGGGTAACTGTGGATATTCTAATTTTTTTATTTCACAATTTTTATTAATATTCCAGTCTGCAATTTGAGATATCAATCTTTATCATGAGCTATCATGTAATCCAATCTGGTGGTTTTCGCATCAGCTTTTATCTATAAAAATATTAGTTTTAGTTACGTAATGTTATAATTAGTATAATTGACTTTCTGATGTTCTGGATGTTATTTTTAAGATTGTTTCAAGATGTCTTCTTGTCCATCTCTTGTCTCTTTCTGTGTGTGTCTCTCTTCCTGTCTGTCTCCCTTTCTGTGTGTATCCATCTATCCCTATGTACTGGGGTTATATGCCATTCTTTATCTGTTAACCTTCTGACCTGGTCCAATGAAATTTTGGGGCAAGTCATTATGTTAATGACTGTTGACGTAACTTTGCTATATATTTCTATGTCTTAAACAGCAGGTGGAGCTGTTGGGCTACGTCAGGAGTATTACCAGCTATTATCATATAGGGTTAACTTCTTGTTCAGGGCAATTTAGGAATTTTTAATCCTACAATGCTTTGGTCAGCGTTTCTTCTTTTCAATTTTGTCTTTGGTCGTTCAACCAATGTGTCCCTATTCACCTAAGCATTATGGCAATTTCAGAATATTTAAGCTGTCTACTTATTTTATCTCTATTGCTAACTACATCTTTATATGTATATAGTTTCAATATATGTAAATTGCTAATTTAGGATATATCACACTATATTTATATCTTTATATATAATTCAACTTAATTTATATACCTGAAAGCGATATATGTGTGTTTGCTGAACATGTACTTTTAATTAACACATATTTATCTTATCTGTGTACTTATCTTTTATTGACACAGATGTATGTATTTACTCACTGTCTGGCTCTTTTAGCTGACAGGGTCATACTTTGAGAAAAACGTCTCTTCATTTTAGCACCTCATGGCATGTTAGCTAAATGGAGTTTTTGCTATTATGCATGTATTATTTTTATCACACAATATATATGTATTCCCTTCCTACACAATATCTCTGACAGGTAACAAATAGTGCACCATAATAGAAAACTACAACAAAGTAAACAGAATGCATGTAACCAAGGGCTTTCTGGGAGAACTGGTCAAAAAATGTTAAAAATATGTGAGGAAAAAATAATAATTTTTATACATAACATATATGAGAAGTAACATGATTTATAAAGTAACAGCAAAAAGTATACATTGGGGTCTAACTCTTCACTGTTCATTGTCTACTCTCTCACTAATCAATGGCTACCCTCCCACTATGTCTCTACATCTATAGTTCTTTCTTGTACCTTTACAACTAAAACATAACTCCTCTTTCTTTCTACAGGATGCAGCCAAGGAAATCTCTCAGATCCTTACTAATTTAATTGATTCCTCTAGCAATAGCTTTCAATCAATCAATAATAATGTGATTCCAACATTTCTGGAAAAAATAGAAGATGTTGTATTAAATTCTTTTATTCAAGATGCAAGGGACCAAACTATAGTAACTCCTGACATTGGTAAGAATACTTCTCCATCCCATAATATCTCACTTCCTTTCAGTGTTCCGACTGGACCTGCATCCCTATCCACCACGAGGGAGATACCCTGTTCTTCTTTTATTCTTCCATTCCTCCTGTATATTGTTGTAGAAAAACATATTATGTTATGATATATTTTCCACTCCTTTCTTCTCCTTGGTAGATGGCTTGCAATGATGTCATGTAAATATATATATTATATTTCTTTTGTGTGTCCGTCAAAAATATCAGTACTCATCAGAGTTAAGTTTTATTCTGTTTAGAAATATCAATATATAATAATATGGCAAAGAATAGTTATGGGGTGATGGATATTTAACAGCAGATGTTGCTTGCTTGAGTTATTATTATTATGTTATTCATATAGCACCATCAAATTCCGCAGCACTTTACAATGGGTGGACGAACAGACATGTAGTTGTAACCAAGTAGGGAGGAGTCGGGCAACTATAGGCCAGTAAGCCTTACTTCAGTAGTGGGGAATGTAATAGAAACCATGTTAAAGGATAGGATTGTTGAACATCTAAAATCACATGGATTTCAAGATCAGAGACAACATGGGTTTACTTCAGGGAGATCATGCCAGACTAATCATATTGATTTTTTTGATTGGGTGACTAAAATCACAATTCAGGGTGGAGCTTTCAGAGTTCTAAGTTAACTCCTTACATGAAGTGATAATTGAAATTCCTGACAAGAATTTTTGGTGATGTACTTGCGCCATCTACTGATGTAGTTGCGCCATCAAAGACCTGTCAGACACGAGAAGGATTTGGGAATTGTTATAAACAACAAATTAGGCAGCAATTTGCAATGTCAATCTGCAGTTGCTAAGGCCAGCAAAGTTTTGTCATGTATAAATAGGGGCATAAATTCTCGGGATGAAAACATAATTTTGCCTCTTTGTAAATCACTGATAAGACCACACCTTGAATATGCTGTGCAATTTTGGGCACCTGTTCTAAAGAAGGATATCATGGCACTAGAATAAGTGCAGACACGAGCTACAAAATTGATAAAAGGGATGGAGCATTTTAGTTATGAAGAAAGGTTAAAAAATGTGAATCTCTTTAGTTTGGAAAAATGGCTCCTCAGAGGGGATATGATAACATTATACAAATATATTGGCCAGTACAAACCATTATCTGGAAATCTATTCATAAACAGGGCTATACATAGGACACAAGGTCACATTTAAGCTGGAAGAAAGGAGGTTTCATCTAAGGCAAAGAAAAGGTTTTTTTTTACAATAAGAACAATAAGGATATGGAATTCTATGCCTGAAGAGGTGGTTTTATCAGAGTCCATACAGATGTTTAAAATGAAATTGGATAAATACTTGCAAAAATATAACATACAGGGATATAATTTCTAATTAGTGGGGTATTAGATGCTTGATCCAAGAAGACATCTGACTGCTATTTTGGGGTCAAGAAGGACTTTTTTCCTAGTTTGTTGCAAAATTGTAAGCTCTACAGACTAGGATTTTTGCCTTCTTTTGGATCAACAGCAAAAACATATGTGAGGAAGACTGAACTTGATGGATGCAAGTCTCTTTTCAGCTATGTAACTATGTGTCTGTCTTTGCATTGTGATACAAAATGGGGTCACCTCTGTTTTAATGGTTACTTACAGTATACATTTTTAATTTCTATCTTCACAAAATGTCTGCCAGTGTAGATACCCTTACAGAACACAAATTTAATACCAAATGGAACTATATGTTCCAGATGCTACCGCTAAACATACCAGATAGTTCTCTAGAAATGGTACAGCGTAGTTTCACTCAATATATCTGGAAGGGAACAAAAAAAACAAGAGTAAGCCAAAATATGCTAGCCCAAAGCAAATGGAGGAATTAGATACCCTATTATTAAAATCAACTATTTGGCCTCCACATTAGTACATATTTATAGAATGCAATTGAAAGCAATTCAGATGAAAGATGGTAAAGGATAGGTAAAATATATCCCAACTAAATTCCTACACAACTGTTGAAGAAATGGGAGAAAATTAAAATAGCTCTTTACAGTAATAAAAAATTACAACCCATCTTGACGTGAAATGTATTGAACAGCAAGTTAAGGATCTAAAAAGAATAGTAGTCCAATGTGCCGGAAGGTATATGGGACCAGAAAAAAAGTCCTTTAAATGAAAATAAAAGTAAAATCAGCAAAGATTTTTATTAAAAACCAAAGGAAAAAAGTTACCAGAGCTCTTTCCACATCCCTATGTATTTTTAAACAAATTGAGGTTTTTAGCTACCTCCAATGGCCATGAGAGGGTAGCAGAGAGCAGTAGCAGAGATAAAGATGGTTATATGTATATCCGGGAAGGATCCTGAACATCTTTAGGACCTAGGGATGTAAAGTGATATCTACTTATTTTGGATCTTGGCCAAACTTTTTGGCAATTCAATAGAGGTTGGCTTCCCTCTCTCTCTCTTGCCTCCAAGCACAAACAATTATTGTTTTTCTTATGTTATGTCAGAGTCTTCTAAGTGAACATTTTAAATTCAGCACTTACTCAACTTATATCTACAATTAACTAGATATACTAATTTTAAATGCCCAAATATATTGCAGTTAAATGTCTGTACGATAATGTCTTAATGTTATGATATATATTTGAAAATCTCAGCAAAGAATTAAAAAGAAAAAAAACCTCAAAAGATCTTCTGCGTTCTGCAGTGCAAATCAATTTATCAACATCCATACCTATAACGGAATGGATACGTTTATTTTCTGGATTACATTTTAGAATGTCACAGTGTGTGACTGTAGTGAGATGTAGGTGCTTTTTCCATAGCTAATATACATCTTCGACTCCTACAGACATTACCATAAAGAAGTCTTTCAAAACCTGTGCTGATGGCTCCAACTTCTTCACTTTGACACTGTTGGACAGCAGTATGGAGGTGCCATGTGAATTTGGACGTGGGGAAAAAGGTAGGAAGGGATATGCAATGGATGTGAACATTTTATATCCCCAAATGTAATTACAACTCACCTATTTTTCTCCAGATGGTGCCATCCTTATTGCATATAAAGGCCTAGAGATGGTCTCAAATGGGACCAGTCTGGTGGACTCTAAAGAAAATGTGTTGATCAATTCACAGGTAGTAACTGGAGCTCTCACGCATGACCAAAAAGTTACTGATGAACATCCTGTATCCTTTCATCTAAAAAACTTGCAGGTTAGTATATTAAATGTTATTGATTACAACCTAAATAAATGGAGGAATGTTAAAATAAAGGATCAACAACATAATATGTACTCCAAAATAATAAGTGAGATAACATTAAGTAGAGTGTCCACATCACACTCCTAAAATTCAACAAACCCAATTGCAACCATGAATCATTTTATAAGCACCAGTCATATATACTTACAATTAGATCATTAAATATTTGGACACTGATACACTTTTCATAATGTTGGCTCTGTGCATCACCACAATGGATTTGAAATGACGCAACCGTGCTGCAATTGAAGTGCAGGCTTTCAGCTTTATTGAACAAAAATATTGTAGGAAACGTTTAGGAATTGCAACTATTTTTATTCACAATTATTATTATTTATGGAGCTCAAATGTAACACAATCATAAAAACTCTTGTTCTTATCTGTTCGGCCTTAAGTTTTGTCTTCAGCAAATAAAATGCATGCTCGATCAGGTTGCGATTAGGTAATTGACACAACCATTGCAAAATATTTCACTTTGTTGCCTTAAAAAACTCCTGGGTTGCTTTCGCAGTAAGCTTTCCTTCACTGTAAAGTGAAGTGCCAACCAATCAACTTCGCAAAATTTGGCTGAATCTGAGCAGATAATATATCCCTGTACAAAATTCATCCAGCTGCTTCTGTCTTCTGTCACAACATCAATAAACACTAGTAACCCAGTGCCATTGGAAGCCATGCATGCTCATGCCATCACACTGTCTCCACAGTTTTTACAAATAATGTGGTGTGCATCAGAGCGCGAGTCATTCCAAGTCTTCTGCATATTCTTTCTTCCCATCATTCTGGGTCAGGTTGATCTTAGTTTCATATGTCCAAAGAATGCTGTTCCAGAACTGAGTTGACTTTTTAGATATTTTTTTTTTTTAAAGTCTTATCTTGCCTTTTTATTCTTGAGGCTTATGAATGGTTTGCACCTTGTGGTGAACTCTCTCTATCTTCTCTTGTGAAGTCTTTTCTTTATCATAGGCTTAAATAATGATATATTGTGGAGAGTGTTCTTCACTTGGCTGTAAGTTGTGAAGTGGTTACCATTAAAATGATCCTATGGTCATCCACCACTGTTGTTTTCAGTTGATATCCATGCCTTTTTGCATTGCAGAGCTCACCAATGCATTCTTTCTTTCTCAGAATGTACCAAACTGTCTATTTGGCCACTCCTAATGTTCCTACTATCTCTCTGATTAATTTTTATTTAATTATTTTTGCAACCTGTTTCACTTGCATTGAGAGCTTTAACTGCATGTTGTGGGTTCACAACAACAGCTTCCAAATGCGTATACCATACCTGGAATCAACTCCAGACCTTTTACCTGCTTAATTGATGAAGAAATTACAAAGGAATAGCCCACACCTATCCATAAAACAGCTTTTGAGTCAAATATCCAATTACTTTTGGTCTCTTGAAAAAGGGGGGCTACATAATAGAGACCTGTAATTCCAATTTCAAATGTGATCTCTCTCAGCCTAAGACAGGTTCAAGACAGGAGACTGTGACACCCACATGAGTAGACAAAGAAAGGCAGAAAGAAGTCAATATCTTTGTACTCACCGTTAGGCTCCACAATATTCCCCCTCGGACGTAGCCCTCACTTATTAGGCTGGAAATCACAACAGGGTCTGGAAACCTTTACGCTGCCATGGTCTTATGCACTAACAAAGAAATTTCTGCTTTCCTTTATCTCCGTAATCAACGATAGTAGTACTCAATTAAGTCACACAACTCCAATGGATTATCAATAAGCTTTCAAACGTTTAATGCGGAGTACATCGTATTTATAAAACACAGTTTGTCTTGGGGTGTATACATCAATGGAAACATTAACCAATCACGGGAGTCTCCGAAACGAAAATATAACTTTTCATATAACATTTCGTAATGCTGTTAGTTAGTCTCCTGTTCACTGATGCAGGTGACAGTATGAGATCAGGAACCCAATTAGAAAGTGCAGATGCTAGAAAGAAGGCTATTTTTTTCAAGCGCAGGATGTTTATAAAAGATAGCGAAAGCTGGTGTCAAGGCGCAAGAACACAAGAACAGAAAAATATTGTATGTTTAAAAAATGCGAGTTTAACCCTTTCAAAGCATGAGTAGCTTGTATTATAATCAGGCCTACTGACCATTTGGTCTTTCAAGTATGTAATAAAAAATACATAAGTGTAAAGCAGGACATGAGAATGACTCCCTGTAACATATTATATATATATATATATATATATATATATATATATATAGTTTTGTATGTCTAGGGGTATATTCACAAAGTAAATTTAATGAAAAAGTAATATCATGAGTGAGGACCTCATCATTTCTAAATATTTAAAGAATCATAACCAATATATAAGGCTGTAGTGGTTATGATGCCAGGTATGCCCTGGTTCCTCATCAAATGTAATGAGTCAAACCATTTACTAACAGTTTGACTTCTGACCTGGGGTCCGCTGGATACCACTCCTTGCCTTTCTCCCACCAGAAGCTCTCTCCACTGAGAATAGTTTGACAGCTTACCTAGAATCTGCCAGTCACTACCTCCTGTGTCCCCATAGGCTCTCTGTCCTGCGCTAAGTCCAGCGCTGTAGTGCTTAGCTAATTGACTCAGAGTGAGAATGACTGAGAATGAGTTGGCCATGCACTGCAAGTCTTAGTTCAGGAGAGTTAATGGAATTGCCTGGCAGGAGTTTCTGGTTTTCACTTCCAGCTCAGAAAGGGAGGGAGCGGCACACAGCGGATGCCAGTTACAAAGTCAAATTGTTAACAGCCCATTTTACTCCTTATATTGAGGGGCACTCTTGGGACCATAACTACTACAGCATGCTTGGATTGTTCCTTTAAATATTTCAAAATGATGAACATAATGTTTCTGGCACATTACATTTACAGTTATGGTGCTAAGAATGATCCTGTAATGTATGGAGAACAATGTTTGTGACTTCTTGAAAACTCGTAAAACAAACTGCTGTCTTTCCTTTTCAGGACTTGGCCCCATCCTACCACTCAGTGTGCGCATATTGGGTACCAGATATGGGGTGGTGTAGTGAAGATTGTGAGACAAAAACATTAAATGACACTCACACTACCTGTACCTGCACCCATCTCTCCAGCTTTGCTGTTCTCATGGCTCCTGTACCTGTAAAGGTAACACAGTTTGATTTAAACAGTTAGAAGTTAATAAATTATATGACATAGAAATACCGCAGCCATTTCACTAAGTATAAATCATCTTATTTGTCTCCAAATCACCTGGTGCCCAATTTTAAGATTTTATGTAAATACATCCTTATTTGATTATATATATGCCAATAGATTCTGCAATACTTCACTGACTCAACAGTGGTGACCATAACAAACTAGAGCAAAATATGTAGTGAATCCAATGTAATGCAAGTGAGTGCAAAACTAGAGGGCTGTATTAGCTAGGGGTGATTATTTCTGATGACTTAAAGGTAGGCATACAATGTAGTAGAGCAGCAGGAAATGCTAGCAGAATGCTTGGTTGTATAGGGAGAGGTATTAGCAGTAGAAAGAGGGAAGTGCTCATGCCATTGTACAGAACACTGGTGAGACCTCACTTGGAGTATTGTACACAGTACTGGAGACCGTATCTTCAGAAGGATATTGATACCTTAGAGAGGTTCAGAGAAGGGCTACTAAACTGGTTCATGGATTGCGGGATAAAACTTACCAGGAAAGGTTAAAGGATCTTAACATGTATAGCTTGGAGGAAAGACGAGACAGGGGGGATATGATAGAAACATTTAAATATATAAAGGGAATCAACACAGTAAAGGAGGAGACTATATTTAAAAGAAGAAAAACTACCACAACAAGAGGACATAGTCTTAAATTAGAGGGACAAAGGTTTAAAAATAATATCAGGAAGTATTACTTTACTGAGAGGGTAGTGGATGCATGGAATAGCCTTCCAGCTGAAGTGGTAGAGGTTAACACAGTGAGGGAGTATAAGCATGCGTGGGATAGGCATAAGGCTATCCTAACTATAAGATAAGGCCAGGGACTAATAAAAGTATTTAGAAAATTGGGCAGACTAGATGGGCCGAATGGTTCTTATCTGCCGTCACATTTTATGTTTCTATGTGCTCTCTGTCAGCACTTCCTGTCAGACCGGGTAGGGGAATAGAAGCTCCTCTACCGCACTCTGCCTGCTCAGGCAGTGCTACATTCTCTGACCGGCAGAGGGGAGCACATCCCCTCTTGCCGATTACTGTTTAATTATGCCGTGCGACCCGGTGTGCACTAGGTAGCCGTGCACCGGCCCGATAGTATGCCGGCCAACTGGAAAATTTCCCGGTATCCCAGTGGGCCAGTCCGGCCCTGCCCCCAACTTCACTGAGCAGACACAGTCTACTCAAGTGCTCAACTGCTGATACCAATAAACCCCGAAATAGCTCATCCCCACAGCTACCAGTTGTCCAAACAGCACTTTCATAGCCTGTATGGTGTTTGATGGCCATCTGGTTATAGGTTTTGTCTGGTCCAATCTGGGACACAGTTTCACACAAGCGGACATGTTCCTCTGTGTGTTCTCCAGTTCTTCAAAGGGTTCTTTAGAGACTAGGTGGCTCAAGCAATGGGCTGCTCAGTGATGTTGGGGGCAAGGCGAAGGAAATACAGTACTTTTATTTTTGAAAAAGTGAGTTTTCATAACAACAATGATCGTCCAAATTCAGACAAACCATGATTTGTTTGAAACCGAATACACATGTCTAATCTTTACCTAGACTGCGCATGTCCATGCAGTATGGAAATGCTACTTCCATGACAGCAGAGTTATTTACTAAAGTGAGGATTCAAATCGAATTCTAAGTGAATTTTACATTTAGAGCCAACGTGGTCAAACTGACATGATAGCTGACTTTTTACAGTTTGACTATTTTGATCTGAAATTAAAAATTCACTTAGAATTCTCATTTTTAGGGAAAGACCATGAATTAACATGCTACCTTACTGCCATGATTGTTAATACTGTTTGCTTCTCCTTGTACTTAACATGTTTAATATTATGTTTACTTATCCGTATATGTAACAAATATGTATTTGTGAGGTGTGAAAAATAAAATTATAACAAACTCTACTCCCCATAACCACTTGAACATGCTGTAGTGGTTATTGTTACAGGGGTTCTTTGGTACTCCCCACGTAAGTAACCAAACTTGGTTTAACTTCTTACCTGAGGTTCACAAGTCACCGCTCCTCACACTATTTAAGTGCATGGTCAATTTATTGCCTGAGAGGGTCAGCTGATGATTGTCAGCAAATGATAGAAGTCAGGGAGCAGTGTCCAGAGGACTCTAAGTAAGAAGTCAAACTAATGGATGCCCGGTGAAAAAATTATGTGCTCAAATTGTGACTCTCTCTAAGCTGGGTAAGGATCCAAATAAATGTGCAAATTTCAGGTGTATTTTGTTGTTAAACAATGATACAAAATTGTATGCCAAGATTTTAACTACTAGGTTATCCAAAGATATTCTTATTGTTAAGAACGATCAAGTTGGATTGTGTTGGCTAGGCAGGCCACAGATGGAACTAGAAGGTTCATCAATATTATTCACCAAATGATGATCGATCAGATGCTTTATCTGCATCTATCTTTTGATAGAATACACTGGGAGTATTTGCACTGCATCATCATCCCACTGCTAGAGTCTCTGCCACAGGTCTGTTACTAATGTAATGAGACAGGGTTGCCCCCTGTCTTCTCTCTTATTTTTTTGAGAGATGGAATCCTTGGCCAAACTGATTAGGAATGATCAAATTATAGAGTTATGATCGGTGATGTTAATCACAAGATTGGGCTTTTCGCTGATGACATAATTCTGTCTTTGCGAATTCCAGCTTGATTCAGTGATGCATATCCTAACCCAATTAGATGAGGTCTCATATTATAAACTTGATGGAAAAAAAAGACCCAAGCTTTGTCTTTTTATGTTCCATGGTCTGAGTGAAACCTTTAATTTTGAGTAGAGGGATGCCATTAGCCTGACCAAAAACCTGTTGAGCATGCACAAATGTAAATTTGCAAAAGTCTGGAGGGATTTGTATGTTTTATGGGTGGGTAGGCTATATTCCTTAACAATTTATATTCTCCCCAACATTTTGTACTTCTTACGAGACATACCTTTGCCTGTCCCATTGTCATTCTTCAGGAATATCAATTCAGCTATGATAAGGTATATTTGGTTAGGCAAGTTCAGTAGGATCAAATTGTTGGTTTTACAGAATCTTTGGGTGAATGGTGGTTTGGGTGTGTCTGATTTCAGAAATTATTATTTTGCTGCGAACGCGAGCAGGCCTTTAAATTAAATTTGACTAGAAACCTGCCCCAGTGGTTATTAATCAAAAAGGAAATGTTTCCTCCACATTCAATCAGAGACATTTTATGACTACCTTGCAGCTTGCATACTAAACTTAGAGAGATACTTCCTACTACCAGGACAACATAGAGGGCTAGAGATATTTTGTTCAATGAGGTCAAGGGGACTGCTTTGTGGTTCAAAGCTATGCCACAATGCGTGTTAAAACATGTTACATCAGGGATTGACTTGGTTTTCAGGAGACCCATCTTGCTTAATAATATGGACAATTTATTTCCAAATAATTCCTTACTCTTATTTAACAAACTAAATGAGGTACCTAAGCTTGATCAAAAATAAATTTATTTGGATTATATCTCCAATTTTGAAAAAATCTATATTGAAGACAAATTATTGAATTGTGCTACTCCTATGTAAATTCAAGGCTTAAAGCCAAATCAGATTTTTGGAATCATGGGAGAGGGATTTCCATACAGTATTACCAATAGATGACTAGATGGCCATTCCCTTAAACTTGAATGACATACGTCATTGCTCGGCTCATCTGGAGCATCCCTACAAAGTGATATATAGGTGGTACTTTACTGTCTAGACTTCAGAAACTGTATCCTAATTCCACCAACTTATGCTGGTGTGGCCGTGGACAAACAGGTACATACTCCCACATGTGGTGGCATTGTCCGCAAATAAAAAATTGTTTTGGAAACATATACATCCCGTAATCAGATATATTAATCCTTCTGTGGTAGATTTAGCTCTAGAACTTTGTTTGCTTAAGATGTTTCCTGACCGTTTTACTAAGGTGGATAAGGTTATGGTGGGACATGTCTTAATTGTGGCCATTACTGTTGTTCCACGCAACTAGAAATCCAAGGTAAAACTTGTTATCAAAGAAGTGTTGACATTGATACTAGAAAATAAGAGCTATGAGTTAAACTAAGGTTACCATCAAACACAACGGAATTAATGATGTACCATTGGAATGTATGGTAGCAGAAAATTAGCATATACACTCCTTATAATGGAATTCCACATAGATTGGAATATTTATGTTCCTTTTCCTTCTCTTCTCTTGGTTACTTGCACAACATGTACAAGTTACCACCAATACATGCAAAGTAAAATATTTTCTCTTTTTTATAGTACTTTGATACTCCCTATTTGGCTTTATGTAGTGTACTTCATAATGTACGTGATATCAACTTCAAAATGTATGAATGTTTTAATGTTTTTTTTTCTCCCCATTATATTTCTTTTGTTTGATTATATGTTTCTATTATGTTGTGTTATTATGTATTCATTCGAATATGTTTAATTGATTTTTGCACGTTTTTATTATTGTAAAACTTGAAAATGTATCAAAAACTGTTACTATTCAGATCAAATAGAATTTATTTACACAGAAACATAGGAAGTGATTGCAGATAAGAATAATTCTCTGTGCAGTTGACTTACAGATGCTTCTGGTAGGGTGACCAGCCTTCTCCTATATGTTACATGGTGAACGGTTAGTCAACAGTATCATCAGGTCTGTCTACATTCAACCATGGCTACCATCAGAATTAATGGAGAGCCCTAACACACACCGCCAGACACACATATGCACACGCATACAAATACTTATTTCCAGGCCCAGGTCTCCCAATTTTGTTAAGACAACCCCTATTTTACAGTCCTGGCCCACCATCCCAGGCTTGTTTCTTGATGTTAAAAACAGAAAAAGTGGGGGGATGGGTCTGCGCCAATGAGCACAATAAATAGTATTATTAAGTCCAGTAGGATATATTCTGTCACATCCAAGGGTCTACTTCAGTAATATCCAAGGGGTGTTGATGGTGTGAAGAGTAATCCAAATATGTAACAAAATAGAAGAGATCTTACTTACAATTGGCAGAGCTTAACCCAGCTCTGGTGTGAATGGCTTACAGCGGTATTATCCCCGCTTTCAGGATATGCGGCAAGTGTCCTCTTCTTTGTGGTGGCAGGTAACCAAGTTGGAAAATAAAAGTAGAGACAATAATGGTGCAGTATATTCCACACGTATGGTAAAAAATTATAAAATATAGTAGATACACTCACATTCGGTAGAGCTTTAACTAGCTCTAGTTGATTTGGCGTACAGCGGTATTATCCCCGCTTGTGGGATATAAGGTGAGTGATCTTGACTTGGACCTCAGGAGCTCGGAGAGAAGATAAAACAGCGATAGTGCTCTCAATAAAATTTAGGTGAATGAATAAAATAATAAAATATACTCACAATATATAGGGCAGGCTAACTGCTCTATGTAACAGCGTGGGTGGTATAATCCCCACCTAGGATTCTTTGGAGTATAGTATCCAGAAAATAAAAAAAATAAAAATAAAATGGATAAAACGTGTTATTTAAAAGAAAGGAAAAATGCTATATAAAAGGCCAGGTAATAAAAAACAAAAGATGATGGTTTAAACATAAAAATAACCAAAATCTTTATTATTGACAGTATATAAAACAGTAAAAAGTATCATTGGCGCAGACCCATCCCCCCACTTTTTCTGTTTTTATTATCTGATTCCCAGGGACATTAGAGGGATTCCCTGTTTGGGACTGCTGCCTCCTGGACTAGCGCTGACTCTACCCCTTGTTCTGTTATCCTTGTTTCTTGATGTCCTGCTTTTGGGGAAACCAGAGCACTGACTCAAGAAATGCTAAAAAACTAGCAATCACTATAGAAACCAAAAGAACTTCTCTTGACATTTAGAACTCGCACACAAAATCTCCCTGTCATTTGTAGAAACTTAAATATACTTTTTTTTTTTTTTTAAATGGAGCATCTTAAGGCAAAAAGGTTAACACTAGTTATAGGTCATTTTCAATGCTTTATTCAGCGGTATAAATTGGAGAAGTCACAGTTCGCCTTTAATAGCATAATGTCATTTCTAGAGACCTAAAACACCAATGTCTTTATTTATTTATAGAGTGACACTGTTCTTGAACTGCTGTCTATTATTGGTCTCGTCATATCTCTTATCTCCCTGGCTCTGTCTCTCCTCACATTTCTTCTGATTCGCTCCTTACGAAGTGTACATACCTCCATCCTGAATGCACTGATGGCATGTCTTTTCTTGGCACAAATGCTTTTGCTGTTGGGTATTACACACAAATGGAATAATGTAAGTGGTTCAGAAAATTATTCATTACAGATATATAATGCAAAATGTCCCTCCTTACCCAGAATTATAAGAATGAATAAATACTTCAATAGGGAAGCAATAGGGGCTAGTGCTCATGTGCACCAAACAGCATCTACATCATAGAGCTCCATTGACCTAATGCATATCTATCAATCAGTGTCTTCATGCAGAGTGTGTAGAAGTGGAGCATCAATCTGCAATTGTTGTAGGACTGAGAACAGGAAGCCCCTCTAATGGCTGTCAGAGAATCACTACATTAGGTTGTACTGGTGCTTGAAGTGTCCTTTTAATTATGCAAGTGCTTAACATGCACTGCACATCTGTGTATCACCTATATACACTTTTACCATGCACCAAAAAAAACAAAAAACATTTAACAACATTTTCATTAACCGACACAACTTGTAAATATTATAAGAACTCTCAAAGGGCATTGTAGGCACAATAACCAAATAAACAGTTTGAAGTGGTTATGATGCATGGAGTCTGTGAGCAACCCACCCCGTGCTCTGACTTGGCTATTTTACCATTAGAGGCCAGGCTCAGGCTGATGGGGGACCAAGTACTTTTACAGAACAGTGAGCATACCATTTAATTGCATGCTATGCACAATAACAACGTCAATGCATTTGAAGTAGTTATGGTGCCTACAGTGTTTATTTAAAGAACACCTATGGAGAGACTGAGATTGAAATTAATATCACCCTGTGCATTTGCTTTATATCAATTCTCCTGATAAACAAAACATTTTTTGCCACGTAACATTGTATCAGAGGAATGCTTCTCTTTTAACTTCAGTTCTTCTCTTGGTTACTCACTAGAATGCACTTTAATGCTATTTTGTGTCTTATCTAGATCATGTGCGCCATTATTGCTGGTTGCCTTCACTTCCTCTTCCTATGTGCCTTTTCCTGGATGGCTCTGGAGAGCATTCTCCTCTTCCTGACTGTCAGGAACCTGCAAGCTATGAATTACCTGACTTCCCGACGCTCTCATTTCCCATCCCTATGCATTATAGGATTTGGAATCCCGGGACTGATTGTCTCTATCACCGCAGGCTTGCGATCAGATGGATATACAAATGAGGAATAGTGAGTAATAATACAGTGTGTCACAAAGAATTTTACTAATCTCCCATTTTGTCATGATTATTAAAGCAACACCATCAAAAGAGTGATTTTTTATATTTTACAGGCACTATAGCAACGTTGCAGTAGCACCACATTTATCTCAGGGCATCATAACATAAGTTATACAATCTTATAAACAACTAGAAAAAAGGACAAGAGAAGGCGCTTAAAGATATAGAACAAGAAGTGCAGCTAAAAATAACCCAAGTGTAGTGTCACCAAAATACACTTAACATGTGATAAATTCAAGAAAAAAAGGGGTGATTAGCGCACACGTAGGAATAGCTCAATTTTACCTTACAAAGATTTTTTCGGTAAACACAAAGCAAATACTTTTTACACCTATATAAAGACAGACAAAGCATACAGAGTGTAATCTGTTTAAAAGGTAATGAAGTGAGGAAAAATATTTCTTCAAACTCACAATTTTCGGAGCTATTAGTAAGTTAGCTCTAAACTTATAATGCCCATCATCTCATCTTTAAGAGGTATACTGATGTATCCACAGTGTCCACAGGAACTTGTAGCTGGTAAAATTCCAGTAAAATTCAAAGTCCGCGGAGAATTAATAAAAAGTTTTTATTATTCTTAAAATAAAATAAGAAAAGAATGTATACATATACAAGTAAAAAGTAATAAAAATTAGCACAACGCGTTTCAACCTTTCACAGGTCTTTCTCAAGTGCATCTGACTTCAACTGGACTAGAAAGCCCTTTTATAGCAAGAAATAATTGACACAGAGTACATAATTGTGAACAAATGTGTTGCCAATACCACCCACTCCCATATATGGTCATAGCCGGAAGTGTCCGCCATTCAAAAGATGGCTGCACCTCCGGCTATGGATCCCATTATTCTTGCCCTCCCCAACATGTCCGCTGGTAATTATAATCTTATAAAGTCTTATTCAGTCTGATTCCTTCCGACGATCTCAACGTCTGTGTGCCGATACGTCACTTCTGGTGACGTATGTATTCTGATTCTCTTTTGCGGTCACATGATTTCTGATGTCCGTTCTTTTTTTTGGGCTTATCAGAATTAAAGCCAATATATCCAGTCATTTTTGTTTATATACATTCCCTCAGTTCATAATTGAATGTCCATATGAAAAAGGACGAAAAAAGAGGACAGACGAAATATATATTAAAAGAAGGGAGACAAAAATATATATGGTATTATTTTACACTTTCCTATACTTATATCAAATGATATTAGAACATTTTTCAATAAATATATACAGATATATAAACAGGAGAAAACATAGATACACCTCAATTAAAATACATTAAGAGATAAAAACAAAATTAATAATAGCAATGACCTTTATAAAATACTATTAATTTCAAAATCAATATTGAGACCCAAAGGAAAAAAGTGCGTATTTCAAAAATCCACTTTACCTCTTGGGTACTCAATTTTTTTGGAAGATCTCCCCCTCTCCAGTGAGGTTCAATTTTTTCAATAGCGCAAAAACTTAAAAACTTTGGATCTGAATTGTGCTTATCTAAAAAATGTTTTGATACGCTATGATTGATAAAACCTCTTTTGATATTTCCAATATGTTCATTAATCCTAATTTTTAAAGATCTTGATGTTTTGCCTACATATTGGAGGCCACATGTACAATTTAGTAAATATATTAAATTTTTTGAGTGGCACGTGATCATTGATCTAATTTCAAATTCCTTATTAAAAGATTTAAAATTAATTTTGTGTTTATCTCCTCTATTGGTCTGTTTATATGCGTTACACATCCCACAATGATAAAAACCTTGTTGTTTTTTGGACCAATTAGTTAAAAAATTGCTGTTGTCTTGGGACGTTTTTTCTAAAAAACTACTAGTTAAAATTTGCTTAAAATTTCTTGCACCTCTAAAAATAAATTTCAGTTTGGAGCCTAAAAATTCCTGTATCTCTTCATCTTGAGCTAAGATATTCCAATTTTTATTAATAATTTTCTTAATAACACCTATATTACTAGAATAATTAAAAATAAGGGGGATTTGTTTATCATTGCTCATCAATATATCATTTTTCTTTTTATATTTTAGTAAGGGAGATCTTTTTAAAGTTGACACTTCCTGAACTTGTGTGTCAAATTCTTTCTTTTGATAACCCTTTTGTACAAATTGTGTCTTTAAAAATTCAGCCTGATCAAAAAAATATTTTTCATTCGTGCAATTTCGACATAATCTTAAAAACTGTCCTCTAGGAATATTGGACAGCCATGGTTTGTGATGGCAGCTACTAACTTCTATGTAACTGTTAACGTCTACTGATTTAAAGAAAGTGCGGGTAGTTAGAATATCATTATGGACCTGAATATTCAGGTCTAAAAAATCGATATTAGTGTTACTAACACATTTAGTTAAATGAATTCCCCAATCATTAACATGAAGAGAATTAAAAAAATTGTTAAAAAGATCCTCTGATCCTTTCCATATTATAAAGATATCATCAATATATCTCCTATATAGGACCAGGTTTGCACCACAGTCATGTCCCTGATAAATAAAAGTGCGCTCCCAATACGCCATAAAAAGGTTTGCATAACTTGGTGCAAACCTGGTCCCCATGGCTGTACCTCTAACTTGTAAATAGAAGTCTCCTTCAAACCAAAAATAGTTATTATGAAGAATCATCTGAATACCATTCAGAATAAAATTCAAATGGTCTGCATTATATTTTTTAGATTCTTGTAGAAAAAACTTTGTGGCTTCACATCCCCTTTCATGTTTGATAATGGTATATAAACTCGTTACATCACATGTAATAAGGAGATAATCATCTTCCCATTTAAAATTATTAAGGATGTTGACTCATTGAGTCCTGAAGATATGACGGACAATTTTTTACCAAAGGTTGGAGATGGAAGTCAATATATTGGGATAACGGAGATAAAATTGAGTTGATGCCCGATATTATGGGACGTGCCGGTGGGTTAATGGGGTCTTTATGTAGCTTTGGTAATACATATATTACTGGTATACGTGGATAGTCAGGGGATAAAAAAGCTAATTCACTCTTATTTAAAATTGTATCATTTTCTCCCTGTTCTAAAAAAGTCTTATAAATTGTCTTTATTTCCTGTGTAGGATCCTTTTTTAGTTTTTTATACGTATAGGAATCTTGAAGCTGTCTTTCGATTTCCTGTAAATAATTAACTTTGTCCATTATTACTACTCCCCCCCCTTTGTCAGCCGGTTTAATAACTATTGATGAATCTTTTCTTAATTCTTCTAAATTCTTTTTTTCTTCAAATGTTAGATTCAAACTATATTTTGAAAGCGGTTTAATTTTATATATTTCCTCTAAACATGACCGCTCAAATACTTTCATTGAGTCAGACTTAAGAAATGTAGGATAAAAATTAGATTTCTTTTAAAATCACTATGGACAATATCCATATTGTCCTCACTTGAAATTAAAATGGTATTTTTATTGGATTCTAGCTCTTTTCTCTTAAAAAATGTTTTTTTTTTTTTATTAAAACATTTTTTAAGACATAATTTGCGACTAAAACGATTAATATCAATAAATGTTTCAAACTTATTTACAGAAATACGCACTTTATTTCCTTTGGGTCTCAATATTGATTTTGAAATTAATAGTATTTTATAAAGGTCATTGCTATTATTAATTTTGTTTTTATCTCTTAATGTATTTTAATTGAGGTGTATCTTTGTTTTCTCCTGTTTATATATCTGTATATATTTATTGAAAAATGTTCTAATATCATTTGATATAAGTATAGGAAAGTGTAAAATAATACCATATATATTTTTGTCTCCCTTCTTTTAATATATATTTCGTCTGTCCTCTTTTTTCATCCTTTTTCGTATGGACATTCAATTATGAACTGAGGGAATGTATATAAACAAAAATGACTGGATATATTGGCTTTAATTCTGATAAGCCCGAAAAAAAGAACGGACATCAGAAATCATGTGACCGCAAAAGAGAATCAGAATACATACGTCACCGGAAGTGACGTATCGGAACACAGACGTTGAGATCGTCGGAAGGAATCAGACTGAATAAGACTTTATAAGATTATAATTACCAGCAGACATGTTGGGGAGGGCAAGAATAATGGGATCCATAGCCGGAGGTGCGGCCATCTTTTGAATGGCGGACACTTCCGGCTATGACCATATATGGGAGTGGGTGGTATTGGCAACACATTTGTTCACAATTATGTACTCTGTGTCAATTATTTCTTGCTATAAAAGGGCTTTCTAGTCCAGTTGAAGTCAGATGCACTTGAGAAAGACCTGTGAAAGGTTGAAACGCGTTGTGCTAATTTATATTACTTTTTACTTGTATATGTATACATTCTTTTCTTATTTTATTTTAAGAATAATAAAAACTTTTTATTAATTCTCCGCGGACTTTGAATTTTACTGGAATTTTACCAGCTACAAGTTCCTGTGGACACTGTGGATACATCAGTATACCTCTTAAAGATGAGATGATGGGCATTATAAGTTTAGAGCTAACTTACTAATAGCTCCGAAAATTGTGAATTTGAAGAAATATTTTTCCTCACTTCATTACCTTTTAAACAGATTATACTCTGTATGCTTTGTCTGTCTTTATATAGATGTAAAAAGTATTTGCTTTGTGTTTACCGAAAAAATCTTTGTAAGGTAAAATTGAGCTATTCCTACGTGTGCGCTAATCACCCCTTTTTTACTTGAATTCATAAGTTATACAATATCTGGAGTAATCATAAGGTGACCTATGGTGGCTGTCACACAATGAATTTATTTACACAGAAACATAGAAAGTGATGGCAGATAAGAATAATTCTCTGTGCAGTTGACTTATAGATGCTTCTGGTAGGGTGACCAGCCTTCTACATGTTACTGAGTGCAGCACTGTCCCAGGAAGCACATCTAGCAGCCATCTGAGTGGCCACCGGAGGTGCCCCTGGACAGTAATATAAACACTGTTGTTGTGGTCGTGACCTAAATATGAATATTAATCTCTTAATACATAATAATTAAGCAATACGGAACAACATTAATATTTTTATAATTCATGGTATTATGGTCGAATATGTGGATAGAAAATACACAAAACGTTGTAATATTAAATGTATATTTAATATAACTATAATAAATAAACAGATGCTAGCAGAATGTCAATTTCAATAATTATACAATACAATACTACACAAAACACTATTGGTTGCTAAGGCTATTACAATTGCTAACTGTTACAATACAAACATATTACTTACAAGGCCCCAGCCAAAGGGCTGGGGCTAAGTCAGAGCTGGTGCTACATGATCAGTCAGGTACAGGCAAACAGAGAGCTCGCTTCTCCTCACATCTGGGTTTTATTCAGTGTAAGTAGGCTGGCCTGTGATGTCACTGCCAGAAGCACAGGTCTTCCTACACACTCCCCCTAGTGGTGCCCCCAAAGCATTACACTAAATATGCTTTACTGACATCTAGTGGTGCGTCTAAAGCATTAAGCTCATTATGCTTTTTTATGACAAAAAGTCATTAATTAATAAATACCATTACAAACCACCCTTTGACTTATGTCATAAAACAAACATTATAAACCCATACATCTTGAATCTACCCTATTTTAACAGTACCTGCCCTACAACAAAACCCACCTTTTGAAGAATGATACCCATTTACCCGTAAAGTTATGACACTTTATTGCTTATTCAATTTTTATTTACTTTTTTTCATTGAGCACATGCATCACCAGTTGGGAAACCTTGGCCTAAAATAAGCACATACCCACCCTTATAATAACAACTGAGCACATGCATTAGCAGTTGGGAAACCTTGGCCTTAAATAGGCAAATACCCACCCTTGTAATAATAGACAACTCAAACCATGTTTTATTAGATTAACCAATGATATTGTGTTCATGTGAGGATGTGTTTTGGAGCTTAATATAGTATTAGACACCACAAACTCATGAATCATGGCACAGACCGACACGATTTATGTAGCCTCTGGCTGGTCTGTGTGCCTGGAATTTTCACAAACATTAGTCCTGGAAACTGGATACTCTATTCTTCGACAGTCTCATAGAACATACGCATGGAGACAGGGATGAATGAAACAGTTCATGTGATCAAGGACTTTTGTGTGTTTGTGGTCACATTGTTTTGTTTTTTCTTTCTTTATACCATTAACCACCTTGACATAACAGTGTCCTGCTCCTGATGCATTTGTTCCGACTCTCACCCCTCTTAGCTGCAATATTTTTTCTCCTTACAGCGACAGTTGAGCATAGTGTCCAGTGCTTCTTCTTCTTCTGCTTGAAAGTTCTTGAATGAAAACACAGGCAATGACGAACACAAACATAAATAATAACTGTGCCAATCATCACAAGTACCATTTGATTGTGGTGTCTTAACCATATTTTTTCCTATGGCGTTTGGATAAATACCTACACACCTCTCTTCACATCCAGCACACTCCTGATTCACAGATAAACACAATGTATCTACCAATTTAACCCAAACACTCGTTATTACTGCTGCATTTACCAATTTAATCTAAACACTCGTTATCATTGCTGTATTTAACCAATTTAATCTAAACATTAACCAAAACAATTACATTCCTATTTACCACCCTTCTATTTAAACATGTATAGATAACCCAAAATGCCTACTTTCTCTTATCCCTCTTATTTTTTGTTTTGTTTTGTTTTTTGAACTGCAACCACTCATGCACTTTACACAGACACAAATCAAACACCTACTGGACAATGGGGTTCCCTCGTTAGAGCCCTCCCACCCCAGTTTGGTTTACACAAAAATACCCCCTGGTCCCTATGGGTCAATTCCCCCCTTTCCCAGGCAAACATACATACAACAATAATAATACATAAGGGTTTCAATTGCAATACAATCACTAGAAATAAGAGAACAGTATGCACAAAATCATAGCATAGACATGTTAAATAGACAATAAAATAAAACATTCAATAGCTCATCAAAGGTCAACATTTAAACACTGGTCTCCATTTGATATTCTATCTGTGTTCCAATGTCCACCCCTGGTTTCTGCTATATCTGAAAAAGGTAAGAAAACAGATCAGGATTACTTTTCCTTGTCACTTATAGCGTATACTGCCAAATCCTTTACTTAGCATATATACATATATACACATATAAATACATTCCCTAAACTTTTCATTTTATAAACAATTTGTTCAACAAGGTAACTTTCTTAATTTTCTACTTGGCTCTTAAAATAAACAATCAGCTAATAGCTGCTTTCTGCATCTTCTCTGCAATTCAGGAAACACATTTCTAGCCAACCTAAACATGTTTAATAACTCTCCACCCTTTGGTTAAATTATAGAGGAGTGAACCACAACACCTCTTCCGCCTCTGAAAGGATATAGGTCAATATGTCTCAAAGTTCAACACTTCTGACAGCTATGAGTGACTCCCTATTAATTTCTAGCCTTTCCACGGACATGCTTGCACCTCGCGGCTAAGGGCCTGCACAACTAACCACCCTGTGATGGCAGTGGCTTTCCGCATGGGGGTGACCGCCCCCGCAAAATTATAGAGGAGCAAACATACAGCAGCCTCTTTTCCGGCTTGATTAAAGGTTCTGGGCCAATATGTCTGCAATTTAACCAGTACACTCACGTATCACTTATTGTATATTTCCTGGTCTCTCAGGAATTTCTATTAAATAGCGTATCCCCTTCCCAGGGCAATATACAACAAAAACTAGTCACCAAGGGTCTCTACGGTCATGATAGGCCACCCTACCACTAGTGTAATACGCCCTTTTTTTAAAATATATTTCCTGGTCTCTCAGAGATTTTGCCCATCCCTTTCCCAGAGCAATATATATAAACAATTACAAATAAGTTACAAAACGCTACTTATAAGTAATACAGGGTTTCAAATAATAATACAGGATAGAACTGCACAACAACTATTGGGTATGCTCCCCCTTATCCGGACACGTTTAAATACCCCCTAGCTCAGGTTCCCCACCCGCTACTGTAACTAAAATCACAGCCCACGTTATGGAGGTTCACCCGCTAGGCAGATACACCCTAATTCAAAGCATGGAAATATTAAAATCAGTTATAGATGGCTTCTAAAATAATATAAATCTTAATCTGAGCCCCTACACTTACTTTGTTAAAAATGCTAACTTGTTAAAATATTCAGACTAAATAGGACAAAGGAATTATTTTACCATTTTTTCAGTTCATTTGTTACCAGTTCCTGCATATGTCCAGTAATTCCTTAGTCCTGGATAATAAAGCTGAAAAACACTCCACAAATTGATTAGTTTAGGCAATTACATTTACAAAACAATGCAGTTTATTTTTTCTCATACAGGCAAGACTACCCACCCCCAACAAGGACAAATTCTCCCCCAGCTGTAGCTGAAAAGCATGGTCACACAGCTGTTAAAAAGGTGGTCTCTCCTTCATGAGTCAAAATCATATATATATTTATACTAATATTCTGTGTATACGCACACATAAATCTATTATTCACTGAATCTGCTTTACTAAACGTATCTTTTTCTTAACTACTAATTTAATACATTTGTCCAAATCTCTTTTCAACTAGACAAATCCATGAATGCCAAACAAATGTAAATTAGTACACAAACAGGGTCAAATTTAGCAATAAAACCTGGTGAACTAGTTTAGTGAAAAGTCTTTTCCTATGCAAATGGTAGCAAACAATGAAACTAGGCCTCAACTCATTCACACCATGTGGTCAATGGTGGATTAAAATCCACATGGTCAGACAAAAAGTAAAATTGTTTTTTGTTTTATATATAAAAATGACCAAAGGTTGGTAAAACGTAACAAGCAACACAATAATTCATCACTATGTTCTACAACAAGAGATACCTTAAAAACAAATATCTAATCCCTATCTGCTATCTGCATTCATTCCATTAAAACCAAATCATCATTCATTTATTCATTTGTATACAGACAGACAATTTACAGTATGATTTAAGCAAAATGCATAACATTTATATTTTCCCCAATATTCAAGCATAATCCTGCCGACTACGCCAAATGTTGTGGTCGTGACCTAAATATGAATATTAATCTCTTAATACATAATAATTAAGCAATACGGAACAACATTAATATTTTTATAATTCATGGTATTATGGTCGAATATGTGGATAGAAAATACACAAAACGTTGTAATATTAAATGTATATTTAATATAACTATAATAAATAAACAGATGCTAGCGGAATGTCAATTTCAATAATTATACAATACAATACTACACAAAACACTATTGGTTGCTAAGGCTATTACAATTGCTAACTGTTACAATACAAACATATTACTTACAAGGCCCCAGCCAAAGGGCTGGGGCTAAGTCAGAGCTGGTGCTACATGATCAGTCAGGTACAGGCAAACAGAGAGCTCGCTTCTCCTCACATCTGGGTTTTATTCAGTGTAAGTAGGCTGGCCTGTGATGTCACTGCCAGAAGCACAGGTCTTCCTACACACTCCCCCTAGTGGTGCCCCCAAAGCATTACACTAAATATGCTTTACTGACATCTAGTGGTGCGTCTAAAGCATTAAGCTCATTATGCTTTTTTTATGACAAAAAGTCATTAATTAATAAATACCATTACAACTGTCTTTTCTCTGAAAAAAAACGTGCGTACTGCAAAACGCCTGCAGGGACATGGTATAGACACCAAAACAACTACATTAAGTTGTTCCAGTGATCTTTTAATATACATTTAAAGGAAACAAACCATCACATAAAGAAACCGTTAAGACAAGTTATAGGTGACTTTCACTCATTTGCTCTGTGATTGGTGACATATACTACATGGATTTTTTTTTTTAAGGTGCCGCAATACCCCATGACTAACTGTGTTCCTACCAGTAATTCTTTCTGATAGTCTGTACCTTACAGACAGCCATATTGATTTTCTCTTATCTTCTCAGTTGCTGGCTCAATCGCAATATAATCTGGAGCTTCCTTGGACCAGTCTGTATGTTCATTGTGGTGAGTTCTCTCTGTAGATTTACTAAATGTCTGAACACTGTAAACATATTTCCTCGCGATTATTTCATATGTGAGCTGCTGGTCCTATTCAATCGATATTGTACTTGTTATATTAGTAATAGAATGCTGATGTGTTCTCCATCCGTGTTTTATTGTTTGTATATTTTCGTCGTCTAAGTGTTAGTACATCTCTGCATTTGTATTGTTTTGGAGTGAATACATCTACGTATAATGTAATGTCTCTCTTCTTTATGTGCAGTTGTCCGTCTGTGTTAGACCATCTCAGCTCTCCTTGCTATGTTTATAATTAATATTATCTTTATTATGTGATTATTCTAACTTCTCTGCATGTGATTTATCAAACTTGCCTACAATCTTACTTTATGTGTTAATGAGTTAAAGTCTACATTCTTTGTTGTATGTATTTAAACAATCTCTACCGTCTTCTTCAGAACATGTTCAGTGTCTGCTTTCTTCTGCATGCTAATGTGAGAAAATCACTTGTTTTCTTTATATAAATTCTAGAACACAACTGCTCTCTAATTTATGTGAACATCTGCTTGTTTTTGTTATGTGAGGGGCAAAGTCTGTGGGTTAGCTCTATACAAGTGTTAGATCATATTGTCCTCTTCGGTGTGAGCACTAGAATTCCTTTTCTATATTCTAGGTGTCTTTACATTCTGGCTGCCTGTTTGTAATCCATCCCCCTATCTGTCATCCTTAGGAAGAAGAAATAAAATTAGATAAAAACTGTCATCATTTGGTACTATTGGAACAAATGAGCCATGGCCTACTTATCCAAAAAAACACCTTGCGAATATTTCTAGAAATATACCATTTCCATAACTGTTGAGGTTGTTTTTCAGGATAAGTTCATGTATTAAAATTGATTGCAAACAAATTCAAACAAATTTAACACCAATGTAATAAGCATTTTAATGATGGAATGTAGCTTTCTCAAGAGGAAGAAAACACAAGGAACTATTATTCCCCTTCTCTCTTGATTCATTGGTCACTTCCACTTTCCCAGAATCCTTAAATTTCTTCTACTTTTTCACATTCTTCATTTACACTCTTTCTTTTCAGGTAAATACTGTTCTCTTGATCTTCACAATTTGGCTGCTCCAAGCAAAACTAGCATCTCTAAATATGAATGTTTCATCTCTAAAGGACACTCGGTGAGTTCATGTGAAAACAAGAGACACAAGAGAAGCCTATTAAAAGATTACTGGGTATAGAATGAAACAGCGAAGAATGAGAAGACCATTTCAGAGCAATTTAAAACCTGACCCCGTCACTTGGAAACAACAGAAAAGTTTTTAGGTTTAAGTTTGAAAAAATGTACAAATGTAAAATCATCAAATCAAAATACTAACCAAGTTACCTGGTTAGACCATGAATACCAAGTAATTCTGTCAGTTAATAACCTAATCCTGGCATTGTAATAGCTAGTCTTCCGAATGCTCAAATGACTGTTGACATAGCTTGATGATCGCCAGTGACCTTGAGCCCATTCACCACAATCAGTTTCTTCCAGACAAATGTTTTACATTCCATTTGTTGTTTTCTCTAAATGTTACACACAGCTGCGTCTTTAACAACATTAAGCCATTCAGCTTCCTTTCATTAAGGCCAGCTTCCCACCCACTGCTGTTTATTCCTACAGGAATTTAAACTAGTTAAAGGGACATTCCACTACTGAAAAAATATATATAATAATCCATGTTTTGTAGATAAACATCACATAACAGCATGCATGATTTTAATTTATATCTAAAAACAGCTGGCAAAACCTACCTTTCTATCGTCTGCAGCTTTTGCAAGGCCTCCTCTTTTAACCCCATCCATACTTTCTGTGGCTGTCCAATCAAAGACTTTCCAATGCAGCTCAGTAAGAAGTCTTTGCAAGGCAGGTGCTATGAGCAGTTGCTGCCTCTTGACACTCCAGTCCCCGAAAGCATTTCTGCATATTCCCTCTGGTTTCTGTTATAAAAGCTTGGATTTCAAGAGAAAAAAGGGACATTTTTAAAACACATTATTATGCCTCCCAGCAGGAAGGATTTCCTGACTCATTAGCTTTTTGACTTTGGTTCATAGTTGAAGTTAGTGCATCTCATGCAGAAATATCAGAATGATAGAGCAATGTAAAAGATAATCATGCACCATAGGTCCCCAATGCTTCTCTGTGAGAAGCATCGAAGATCATCAGTATTGTTCATATCTTTGTGGGAGAATTACGATGGAGAAAGGATACTAATTTTGCACTAAAAAAAGGCAAGTTAAATAGTGCTTTATAATGAAAAGGAGGGCCCCACTTTTAAAATAAAATATATTTATTAATTTAATTCTAAAGTTAGAGTGTTTTACTTCTGCAAACAAAAGGTTATGTTTTACAGAAGTAAATATTGCTTTTGACACACAAGCAGATTGTAACACAGGAAGTGTGTGAAAACAACCAGATTCAATTGATATACTTTAAAAGTTATCTCTTAACAGTTTGGGCGGAATTGCATGACATGTTCTTACAATATAATGCGTAATAGAAAACTCATCAACTGCTTAATAATAATTAAAATAAGATGTAAAGAAATGCAGCATATACTAATATGAAAGAGAGCAATGAGTGTCCAGAACTTAACAAGTTCAGGCTCAGTGGTTTAATGAATTTTGTCTAATGACCTGTTCTCAGGGCCGGTGCAAAGAATTTTGGGTACTTAGGCAAAGATGCATTTTTCCGCCCCCCCCAAAAAACATCTTCACCTGTGTGCCTCTTAACCTCCCTTTTGTGTTTCTTATCCCGTCTTTTAAATATCTTACTCCCTTTAGTGTATTTTATCTCCTATTTTTGACTTTGTGTGTCTCCTATCTCTCCTCTTTGTATGACTCTTACATCCTCCCACATTTTGTGTGTCTTACTCCTCCCAACCCCTTTGTGTTACTCCTTTTCTCCCAGCCCCTTTGTGTCTTTTACTCTTCCCAGCTCCTTTGTGTGTGTCTCTTTCCTTCTCAAGCCCCGCTGTGTGTTTCTTTCACATCCAGCCCCTCTCCCCGTCCCTTAATGGTCCCCTCCCTTCTCTGACCCTTACTGTTCCTCTCCCTTCTCTCCTCCTTTCCCTGTCCCTCAGTGTTCCTTTCCTTTCCCACCTCCTTTCCCTGTTGCTTAGTGTTCCTCTACCCCCCTCCCTCCTTTTCCTGTCGCTTAGTGTTCCTCTACCCCCCTCCCTCCTTTTCCTGTCCCTTAGGGTTCCTCTCCCCCCTCCCTCCTTTTCCTGTCCCTTAGGGTATCTCTCCCCTCCTCTCCCTGTCCATTGGTGTGCCACCCACCCCCATAGTGGTCCCCTCCCCTTCCTGGTGTGCCTCCTACCTTTCTTGTAGCATGGCTAAGCTGAGTGAATCCTGGTACAGTGAACTTTTCCTGTCAGTCCTGCCAGGTACAGGAAACAGAAGTTCCTGTACCACGGTACACTCCGCTTGGCCACGCTACAGTCAGGGGTGTATAAAAACACTGACAGTCACACACACTCAATGACAAACACACAGACGTCTCTGACATCCAGACTCATTTATCTGACACACTCATTCATTGACACTCACACGCACACTGACAGACACACAAACACTGACAGACTCATTGACAAACACACACTGACAGACACACACACACTCACATGACAACACATACACACACACACACACACAAACTCACAGACACACATACTTACACACACACTGACAGACACACATACTCACATGCACACACACACACACACTGACAGACACACTCACACACACACACTGACAGACACACACACACAGACACACAAACTCACACACTCACACACACACACATACTCACACACACACTGACAGACACACTCACATGCACACACACACACACACACTGACAGACACACTCACACACACACTGACAGACACACACACACACAGACACACAGACACATATACTCACACACCCACTGACAGACACACACAATCACATGCACACACACTCACAGTAATTAATAATATAAATTTAATTTAAAGGTCCCACCCAGCCTCCCTATCTGGAGAGCTGGCGTGGGTCTCTCATTGGTGGTCCAGTGGGGCTGCTGGGAGGCGTGCGGCTGAATTGGATTCCGAGGCGGCGAGGGAGCTCTGATCGCTCTGATCTGCTCCCTTTTGTGCCTTTTGCTGATGCCGGGAGCCGTCACATTCCGGCTCCCGGCATCAGTAAACAGTCTGCGATGGAGCAGATCAGAGAGATCAGAACTCCCTTACTGCCTCGGAATCCTATTCAGCCGCACACCGCGCCTGGGATCCAGAAGGTGGCCTGGCAGGAGGGAGCATTTCTCTCCTGCCAGTCACTGGAATTTTGCGCCCCCAGAGCGCGCCTTATGGACGTGCCGGCCCTGCCTGTTCTCTAAGTCTGCGGGTCATTTCTCCCTCTGAATCTGCTAGAAAAATCTTGGCTGACATTACACTTTAGACGCTTACTATACAAAGCAATATTGCAGACATTCCTACTCCACCACTTGTCTTGGTTTGCCTCTTAGATCATGAAAAATGGACTTAACAGAAAGATTTTTTTTAAAAAAGCTTAATAACATTAAAAAAGGCTTAAAAAATATAAAAGGCTTAAAATCTACTTAATGAGGCTTAACTAGATTAAGATTACAGAAGAGTGGAGAAAATTGTTAGGTCAGGCAAACTAAGGACCAGATATTTTTGCTTTCACTTTTGCTTAGAATATCCAGCTGGGAAGCAATATGGAATTGGCATTTCCGGTATCTCACTGAAAATACATTAATTTGGTTTTGTTTGTTCACAGTTCAAATGATTCCCTCAGTACTCTTAAAGATGCTTAAAACAAAGATATAAGGTTAAGTGGAATGACCATGCTTTTTTAATAATGTTATTTATACTTAAATTCAGACTTTACATTAACAGTGGTTTCAGTTTCAACTTTACAAAAGGGCATGGGAGTTTTTTCGGTTGTTGTATCTAAATAATCAAAATATTGGGCTATTTAGTCATTCATTTGTGACCTTCCAGTTCCCGTGCCCCTCAGTCCTCGTAGACCCTGCTCTTCCTACAGGCTTGTTGTGTTTTATATAATTTTGTGATTTTAACGTTCTTTTTTTTGCCCTCCTGTGAGATTGTATGGTCCTTTGCCTTTGGTATGGACCTGACGTGTTCCCCTCGTTACAATTGTGGTCTCCTATTTTTAACTTTAAGCATGCTTCTGTCGACAGCAGGCAACTTTATATCCTTCTTGGCCATTGACATCAGTTGCACTGAGTCTTGTATTGCAGAGGAAGAAGCTTATGGCAAATTCTGCTACCTTTAAATTGACTTCTCTCACAAAACGCCTGTATCACCATTAAAAGGATGTTATAGTCGGCAGAACAACTACAGCTTAATGTAATAGTTCTGCCGCGCATGCGCACTCCGCTTCAGTGACATTGGACGGGGGAGCTTACGTTGGCGGGGGAGGAGAGGTCACCGGCGCCGAGGAAGCCCGGCGCTGGATTAAGGTAAGTGGGAGGGGGACGGGGACCCTGAAGGTGGGGGCACCCTCAGGGCACTATAGTGTCAGGAAAACCACTTTGTGTTCCTGACACTATAGTGATCCTTTTAGATTTTAAGAGGTGAAAGAGTGAGTGATGGTGCAGTGTACTAACTTGTCTTCCAACTCCTGACTCTCCACAGACTCCTGACATTCAAATCATTGGCTCAGCTATTTATACTGGGTCCCACCTGGATTATTGGGATCTTCCAGTTTGGACCTGGAGCCCAAGTCATGTCTTACATCTTTACTGTTTGCAACAGCCTGCAAGGAGCCTTTATATTTCTTGTGCACTGTCTCCTCAATCGTCAGGTGAACAAAGTGTTGATTATTATATTAACTGTGTTAACACACAAATCAAGTTTTCAAATCACATACTGGACGGCCGGTGATATGATCATTGCAATATTTTCTGTAATTCACAGTTTAAATGATACCATGTAGTGAATGGCCCCTTAACCCCTTAAGGACACTTGACATGTGTGACATGTCATGATTCCCTTTTTATTCCAGAAATTTGGTCCTTAAGGGGTTAATCCCAGGCATCACTGGTCTTACTTGAGACCAGTAGCAGTTATACCCCAATACAGCATATTTGTAGCTACTGCTATTTTAATTAACCCTCCTCCTAATACTGATTTAACAATATAGGAACTAAAACACAATTTTCCCAGTGCTTTTCTGGGCTTGTATTTATCATGAGAAAGACTGAATTGATGGCAGCATTTGCAAATATTCGTTCTGCTGGGAAGTGTAACCTCCATAGACATAGACAAGTATGTTCCAGTATTACCCTAAGATTAAGGAAACATTAACCAGTACTCTAGCATTACCCTAATCTATTTTTTTTTTTTTTTTAAATAATGGATTCTAAATGTATATTATGATGTCTCATAATGTTTATGGGATAAAACCCACCAAAAAACGGTGTGTGTTAGATACAGTTGTATGCTCAACTTCTATCGGAGTCCATAAATGACTGTTACCAAGTTTGTAGACGTTGTCTCAAACGGCCCTTATTTACCCAAGATACAATATCGGAAGGAACTCAATATGTTTAAAGTTAATTATTTATTTATCTAAAAGCAAATAAAACAAATTGTACAATAAAAATATTCAATTCAATCAACATGTTACTCCCTCCAAGATGCATTGCAGGCTTTCTCAATCGTTTGAGAAAACTACGTGAAACACGTTTTAGAGGGAGGAACTTGATATTGAGTATTTTTATTATACCATTTGTTTTAAGATTCATAAATAATTTATGTTAAATGTATTTAGTTCCTTCCAATATTGTATCCCGGTTAAAAGTAGGGAAGTGTCACCCTGAAATTTGACACTACGTCTTTAAACTGAGAGCTAGTCCTTTATAAGCTCCTATAGAATGTGAGCATTATAAAGCAATTTATCGATCTATTATTTCACAATTCTTGAGCGCATTTTCTCATGCCTATTGTATAATTTTATATTATGATGTCTACTGAACCCCAAGATGGATTACACCATTGAGCCATAAAGTTGCCTAAAATATGACTCTGATGGGGCATTTTTTTTGTTTTTTTGTGATTGGGGTTGTTTGTTGTTTGTTTGATCTACATCTTTTTATATTTGGCCACATAAAGCAATAGGGCAGTGATTAATAATAACACAAATACTCTAGAATGTATCTAAAACTCAGTAATGCTTCCCTTCCTGGGTAAACATATTGGGATAGAACCACCAGAATCAATATTATATCATATAAAATAATTTCTAGAATCCCAATGTGTTGGTTATTAGACCCCAACAAAATTGTTCATTAGAAGCAAAGTGTGACAGAATATTAAGTATTAAACTCAAATTACTTTTTAAAGTTCCAAAACATGTATTGGTTAAAAGTAATAACAGTCTGAAGAATGTCAAAAATGCTATAATACACTAGAGGGCGCTAGTTACCTAATAGACTCTTCGCACAGGCTGACGCACTGCCAAAAAGAGTAATATTCTCTCTATCAAACCTTCTATACATGTAACTTTATATTAATAGTGGCTCCTAATTTGTACTATGCAGGTGAGGGAAGAATACCGCAAACTGTACCACAAATTCTGCTCCTGCAAGAAGCAAGGGCCTGACGTATCCACTGATACCTTTCCCATGACTAGCAAACCAACGACTGTAAGTATCACTTCTTCACTTGCCCTTTGTGCTTTCTTTTTTATCTCGCCTCTTCTTAAAAACCTATTAAACATTAGGTAAACAAAAATTAGGTTAAAAAAAACTACTCAAAAGAGCAGCTAAACTCCAAAACCCCAGGAAATGATGTAGCAAAAAAAATAAAATAAAATAAAAGCTGTAAAGTTTGTTAATTAGTTTAAATATATATATCTTATAGCAGACAAAATATTGCATGGGACGGATAAATGGACAGTCCACACATGATGCATTTTGCTCTACTAGTTAATCATAAGTAATATTGACCATCGTGCAGTTCCCGTGTGCATGACACATTCAGGGTTATTCAACAGATCGAGAATTGCCAGGATTTTAAATGTAAAATAAATAGCCAAACTGAACACAAAATTGACTTGGAGAATTTTCCTAAATTGGCTTCCTGTATAACACTATACAAATAGGATGGCGCAAGTAGCATAAAAAATATAATAAAAATGGGAATGTTATTAACAATGCAGCAGCCCAATCTAATAAGCCCTGGTGATACAACTTAGAAAAACAGTATAATTATAAAAAGCTAAATTAAATCAATGAACTATGGCAAAATAGTGCAGAGAAATTCATAACAAATATACTCCAGAGCCCCTTAGTGGAGAGTGGTACTTTAACCACTCCAATCTTGTGAGTCTCCAATTTTAAGCATTCGATTTTTATCAATTGTGATTTTACTTTACATATTGCACTAGTTTTTTTCAGTCTATTTATTTTTAGATTCGATGATTGTGAAGCTGTTTGTGCAAGTATATTTGTTGTGAATTTCCCTGCACTATTTTGCCGCAGATCATTGTTTTAATTTGGCACATAAGTTTGTCTCACTACGTCTTTACTATCGCTGTATGTAATATTCATCACCCAGTGTCACATGTGTGTGTGTCGGGTCTGAGTATTTCACATAGTATCATCAGTGGGTTTTATAATATTTATTGTTTTTATGGGCACCAATCTTTTTATAATTATACTAAATTGGCTTCCTGGCCTAAATTTTGAACGTCACTCAAAATTTCTGGCAATAATCATTGAAGTTAATAACCCTGTAGTGGCTCCAACAAATCGAAGACTATAGTCCCATCCACATGCATAATTTCATTAAAGCATCTAACAATGATGGCAATTTATGGAGGGTTTGTGTCTGTTCTACATAGGTTGCACAGACTGTTCTGCTGAACATGGACACTTGGATAGTGTAGCATAAAGAAGCAACAGATGAAGTTGAATCTGGATCTGCCTCTAATTTTCGTTTACTTTTCTCTTTTTCCTTCCAGAGCAATATATACATCTCAAGGCCAGAACTCAGAGAGAGTAATCTTGCCTCAAGAGCAGACTGGTGACAAGTTGTCCTACACTCATTACTTAGAGGAGAAATGCGTCATTTCTACCATATTGTGAACCTCATATCTAATGAAACCCCAGAAATGCTCAGAATCATCACCTTGTAATCTCTATGTGCAATCACCATGGCTTTGGGCAATTATTTAGTTCCGAAAGATAATCACTGGATAGATAGAACTGCATCTAGTATTAATACCATGATGCAGCATTAAACATACCAAAACAAGAACTTACACAAAAACGCAACTTAGGAGCCAATCAAGAAGATGCCACATGTTTCGCTTTGCATGATATTGGCCATGAAGTATCACTTGTTTAAAATATATCTACTAATATTATCATTTATTACACAATCCCTCTCTTTAAAAGTATTTGCCAAATAATTACCATTCTTCAAGTGCTTTGTGTAGTTGTTAAAAGGTTTAGATTTTTTTTAATGCTTTTGTATTTCATACTCTATATATGCACTCTTAGTGTTAGTTCCTGTTCTACAGAACAAATATGTGCTAATTCAAGGCTCCAAAGGATCTCGGAGAGTACAAGTGGAGAGGTCTGGAAGTGAGAAAGTTTAGCATTTTTATAACTTAAGAACATGTTTAACTAATAAATAGAATTCCGCACTCAGAATAAGTAGAAGTTTGTTCAAGAGAAAATCGGAACCAATATTTCCAATGGAAGGGAATAAAATACACACAATTGCTATGTATACTCATAAAGTCCACAAATCATCAAAGCTAAGCCTATGTACATAATGCATAATGGTCACTAAGTAGTAATGCATATGAGGAAGCATAATGAAGTCAATACTTCTAGGTAATATATACAAAACAGAAAAATAATCAAAATAACTTCAGTGGATCCACTCCTTAACTCAAAGATTGGAGCATATGTGTATAAAAGCTAATGAAGACAAGCACATATATCTACTCGTCCAGCTGCGAAAAAAAAAAAAGGTAAAAACCTGTAAAAAATATATGAGTCTTTAGTCCATTTGTGGAAATGCATATCAGTAATCCATGTAGATAATGATGAAAAAAAAATAATGAAAAAAACTGTATACAGTAGAATAAAAAAAAAGGAAAAAGAAAAAAAAAGAATAATGACAAAAAAAAAGCAAAAAATAGCAAAGATGAAAAAATTGCTGAACTGGTTAGATCTCACCACTCTGTTAGGGTGACCTGAATAACTGCACCTACTTCACTGTTGAGTGCCACCATCGTACCTGTATATATATATTTTTTGTAAGAACGTGTTTAGGTGTGAGAAATCATTTATCTGGAAATATCATAAGACACGTGATATGAATGTCTCCACAACCCCTTGATGATACTAATTCCACCTAGTACATGTTCAGTATCATGTACATGATCAGTAAATCATGAGTCACTTCTTCTCTAGCCATATTGGCTCTGTATGACTAGACCTTACCTTCATTTCTTAGCCTCACACGGCAATTACCCAGGTATTCCAAGATGGCTGCTGGCTCTACACTCACTACGCAGACCCCATGTGGGCAACAGTGCAGGACCCTCAAAGACTTTCTCAGGTGTTTCGATAACATTTGCATATGCTCACCCAGAATCCCTTGCAGTAGTGACATCAGTGCAAATTTGAGATTTCTGTGGGAAAAAAACAAGTCTTATGGTTTGACTGGTGTCCAGATCTGTGTTTAACAATATATTGACTAGCCACTGACTTCAGATGGAAGGGGTTTTCAATCACAATTTTTCCCCACCACAACTTTCTTGGTTTGTATTCCACAAATAACACAAAGACTCAACAGCAAGCCAGTAACCAACCTCATGCTGATGAGTTTCATTAACAACGAAACAGCTGTCATGAGTGGTTCACTGGCTTTGCATCTCTTCCTGAGTTGTGTTTCAAAGCTGTTGTATACAGCAAACATAAACTCCTTGTTTCGTTGGAATCCATGTTTAAAAGGATTAGACTTGGAGTCCGGGCAACACTTCATGTAATGCTAGAGGCTTCTTGAATGATCAGATGACACGCAAAGAGTAAGCAGAGAAATTCAAGGCCCGCAATATCGCTGAGAGGGTCTGGGCAGATTTTACTATCTGAGAGCACTATATGTGGCTATTCTTATTTTCTCTCCGAGCATCTAGACAACTACCAGTCAAGACATACCACTACCATACCCCATAAGTGGGGATTATACCACTATTGGCGATCCATACTAGAGCTGGTTATAGCTCTCTTAAATGTGAGTGCAATACTATTGTTTTTAATAACAGGCCTACTTAGCCCTGACTTACTGCACTATCAGGTTATTTTGTCTCTCTCTCTCACCCACATACAGAGACTAAAGACAACAAGACCCTACAAGTATAAATATCCTAGGAACCACAATTTTTTTTTATTTTTTATTATATTTTACTTTAGCTTTACTTTATCCTGTTACATGTGGCACAGCCCTTACCTATCTTATTTTTTTTTGTTCGCCTCTCCCACGTTTATTACAAACAGAAAAAGAAAGCCCAAATTTAAACAATACTTTGCTGGATTCTACATTCCACAATAGCCACATTTCTCCACACTATTTACAATAATGACCTGCTTCTCATTTGAATATTATCCCTTGTTATTTTTTTACTCCCCTCCATCATACCATCAATTCATCAGTACTATCATATTACATCACTAAAAGGGTGCTGGGGATCCTCTGTATGTAATATCCTCTCTCCCTTACTTACGTTCCCTCTGGGATTACGTTTCTTGTTTCTTCTCTCCGCACTTCATCTCACTTACCTGTGACAGTATTTCCATGCATTTCCTATGTGTGACAATCAGTGATTTTAGGCGCACCCTATCTTCCTTCACTATGTAACATTGAAGCTCTATAATAGAAAAATCTTTGGGCTGCACAAGATGTCTCTGTAAGGGTCTAGACGTGCATCCCTTGACCCAAATAGGAGATTCGGAGCTAACAATGTATGTTTACCAAAATCAGGCACAGGGCTTGTCCAGAAATCATTCAGGGTACCAGTCATAGTCAGCTCTTCTCGCAAAATGTTTGAGTGCAAGAGCTGCTCTTTGCTGTCTTAATTGTAACCCCTCTCCCTTTATTGATATGACTTGGGGGGAGCTGGGGAGACAGACAGTGTGATTCTATCTCCCCAACTCCATTCCTGGTATTTCCGTAAGAAAAGCAGGGGTGAATTAGCAGTTGCAGCAGCAAAAAGCCTACGAGTATAATCGCCACAAGTTTTGGGCATTTTTATATCTGAGACAGTGGGACATTAGTTCTGAAGAGGAGCTGTAGTTTGTAACGATGAACATTGAACAGATAGAGTTATGATAATTTTCCGTAATGATAAGCATGTACTGTTATGATAATCATGTACTCTTTCTATTGTTGCTTTGGCAACAGAGAAGTTCCTATGCAGCCAGCCCCTTTCATACTGGAAGGAAATGAAGATACCCTGGTCAATAGGAACGGACACACCTGCTATAGCTTTATTTAGTGGCCGATGACAGCTCCTATTCCTCTGGGAGGTAGGGATAATTTTTCAGACTGAGGGATTTACCAGTGCTCCAGGCCTACTGTTTGATTCACATATCTTCCTGTAAAACAGATAACTAGCCACACACAGTGCGTTGCAGCTCCTGCCAATACATGTTTAAACAAACCAGTAGTGTCTATTGAGTGTTTGTGCTCATTCGTTTTAGTACTATACAATCAGCTGCTGTCTCTAAATTCTGGTGTATAATAGTGGGGGGAAGAGAGTAAGCAGTTACATTCCTATTATCCGTAGGCCTCTGTGAGGCAAACCAAAAAAACATCACCTAGATGACCTTAGGTTATACAATCCAGACAATAAGCTTTTCTTACTGAGTGTTTTTGCTTGTTGCTGTATGCTAGGGTAGCAAACTATAACCACTTTAAACATAAGGATGCTTATTAGCTAAGTCTGAGATTGTCAGTTCTCCAAAATTACTGATCTATGTCTCCTAAAGTCTCAGCTACCAGTTTTACACTGACAGATATGTAGTGTTTCTTTTGCAGAATGGAAAATAAGAGGCTATAGTCTAGCTCAGCTGTTGCACATCATTTTTTATAACTGTTAAGTAAATTGATGTATTTGTCTAACAGCAGATGTATGATGTGTGAATGGCTATAAATACATTTGGATCGCAACCTACAAGTTTACTTTACAATGTGTGGCAGGTAGGGGCTATAACATAAATACATGAATGGTCATGCCTTTATTACCCCCATTCCACAGTCATAGTCAGCTAATAAGGACTATAATATAGATGCGGGGGATCATGACATTATTTCTCCCCCAATCCATGGGCATTGCATAGGGGAATTTAATGATGAGGAGGTTGGACATGCTCATTGTCCAAACCCAACCTTGGGCATCAGTTGGGGGCAGTAGTAGTACACTAAGGTGGGTTTGACATGCCATTATACATCCCCTGCTTATTTTCAGCCTCCTCTCCCCCCATCCCCTCATCCTGAAAATAGTGAGCGATCCCAATAAACCTAGTGCGTGCAAAAGTACATCTACACTTACCCGCAGTTCTTATTTCTTCTGAAGTCTTTTTGGTTAGCCCCCCAAAAAGGACAAATAAAAATCAAGAAGAATGCAACTGTTAAAAAGAAAAAAAAGATCTAAATCAATATAAGGGCTTCCAAGCCAACCAATCAGAGTGCTATAACAGGTAGCTCTCTCTTTTATTGAGACTTGCTTGGTAATGCATGTGTGCATCAGGTAAAGCTACGGGGAGACCAGTGCCAGGATCTACTCCTGTAATTTAATGGCCCTAACCAAACTAGTCTTTTTACTCCAATAGGCCTTTTTAGTGACTGCGGAGCCCTCGATGTCTAGTTGCTTGTTTTAAAAACCAGTTAACAGACAATATATGTGTGTCTGTGAGTGTGTGATTATATCTGTGAGTGATTGTCTACATGTGTGTGTATTGTATATGACTGTTCATGTGTGTGAGTTTGTGTGTTTGTAATTATGAGTTTGTATGTGTTGGGGGTTGTAAATACACCAAGTCTGATTTTAATAAAATGTGGTGTAAGAAAAGCAATTCTCTCCTTTTCATAATTTGTTATCCAGGATGATAATTTCCTAAACCTCCTGACTTATACTAAAGCATGGACCACAGACCTCTCTGGAAATATTACCGATAATGCCTGACATAAAAGCTTTCTTTTCTTTACCTGGAATACAGTGACCCAAAAATATCACAGAGAGTGAACACATGGGCTAAGTCAGAATTACTCTTACATTTTTGATTATTTAAAGTTAACTGTTATTGTTAAAACCTACATATATTTCCAGTGCCTATCTTATAAGTGTGTGTTGCTTGTTATATTTCTTAAGTTTTCGTTACATACGGATTTCACATACCACCTCTATAGTCTGCCCTGAACTTCTGAATATTATGTATAACAAGAACAGGGTAAAGTGGTGTTTTTCTTGACATCCAGACCTGCTCTGCTCCTTTCTCCTCTGGCACCAGAAACCAACACCACCACAATTCTTCAGGGTAAGGTCTTTCTCTCTGTTCACTGGACAAACAGATATCA